AAAGGAGAATGGAATAATCAGCTATGTACTGAAAGGAGACAAATTGCCATGAAATATCAAAGTTTCCCTCACAGTGAAGTTAACAGGTTTTAAAAGCTGAAATCATGAAGTGGTTATTCTGGTAGCTTTACTGACGGTTTAGTTGTATGCATTAGGGATAATGGTCTTGCTTATTAATTTTAGTAAAAAAGGTAACAGTTCCCTGTTGTGAATACATTTGTCTGCTGATACAGTGTATGGATCTGTGGAATTATACTTTCAAGGATCTTTTTTATTGATCTGAGGCTGATTTTTAGGGTGACTGAAACCTGTAAGGAGTCCTTTTTACAGGGTTTCAGGCACATGGCAATAGAGGACTTTGATGACTTGTTTCCTTTTACCACAGGGTTGTAGAGAATGGAAAGAACCCTGCATTTCCTGAGAACTTTTGTTATTTAGAGGTAAGTCCAAAGACCTCTTAAGACAAACAGACCTTGGTCAGATTTTGTTCATTCAGATGAGCAGAATTATGACAGTAGGATGCAAAGACAGTCTTGAAATTGATGCAAAACACTCTATGAGATAATTTCTGCTTTAGATTAAACATATTTTGTTACTTCTACTGGTTTTTGGTTGAAACATGGAAAACAGAAGTAATTATGATCAGAAGAATCGCCTAAACTTAGGTTGCAATTATCAAAGGAAATAATTCAACTAAACACTGTTAAAAAACCCAGCCAAAGATAAAAAGCTTTCTGGTTGCTCTGGGGATTTCTTGACAAATTTGGTAGTGAAGATGTCTTTATTCTTCAACATAATAGCACGAGGAGATTAGCCTGAGTTTGTCTAGTCTTGTACTGGTGGTGGTGCTTCTCGAGGTCCACATTTCAGTGGTATGGTGAGGCTGTCAGTGTTCTAGGTATGCTGCTGTAGCCAAGTAGGATGAACGTAGCCCTACAAGGCAACTGAAGTTAACTTTTGTGCTCTGTGAACCATTGGGTGTCTGCCAAGAACCCTTGAGTGCGTCTGTGAACAGTCAATGACAAAAGCAAGCCTATTGTCAGGCAGGCTTCATTTTCTGTGCTGAAGCTGGCAACCTTACTGAGAAGCGTTAAAACATGTGTTGGGATTGCAGACCTTTATTTCTGTGCCTGACATAATTCAGTTTTTAGACTGTATTCATATAGCAGAGCTGCTTAATTCTTTTCTGCATACAGCCATGCCAGTTATATGACATAAATTGGTCTTGATCCTTCTAAAGTAGTCTGAGATCTCCACAGGAATGTTGTCTATGGAGATTGTAGGAAAAACAAGCCAAATTACTTGAAAATTTATTTCAGAAGTGATGGAAAGATGAGAAAGGTACATTTGTGTAGCTAAAAGCTATAACAAACATTTCTTAAGTACTTTTAAGTTATGTAGATACTCCAAAGGAAGAAAAAAACTTCACTGCTTTGTCTTCTTGCTGAAGAATCTCACATTTTGAAAGAGAGGTTGACTAAAATACATAAAATAGTGGTTTAACATACTGTTCTTATTGCCTGCACTAGTATCTGCTTAGTATAGTCTAAGACTGAAACAGTTCTGGCATGTGGACAAATAGTTACTCCATGTGGTTTGAACTTCTTTAGAACCATCTACTTGCAACCTCCTGAATCCAGGGTAATATTCTTTACTGTTTAATGAGCTCCTTTCATGGTATTGCCCAAATAACCAGCATCAAAGGCATCTGCCTATGTTTCTGTGGACTCCTAATTGCATTCAGGTTCATCCATGCAGAGAGAATTCTACTGCTTGCCTCCCACCACCTAGAGAGAATTTCTTTGGCACTTGGAATGCACATGTAAAAATAACTTTGGGAGGATTATATTATGGAATGGTGTTGCAATACCTTGCATGTGTGCCCTGAGGCATTTGTCTGTTTAGTTGTAGAGTCTGACTGGTAGTCTGTTAGCTTTGAAAACTTGTTATTTGACAGAAACTTAGCTATGTTTTCAGGCTAATGAATTTTGATCTCAGTGTTAGTTCAGAAAAAAAAAATTGCCTCTGAGAGACATGTCATGTCTCAATAATTGAGATGATTTATGAGCAATATTTATGATTGCTTTCATAAAGGGTTTTTTTGTTTTAATGTCCACGTCTCCTGTGTATAGATTAAGAAGCTGCAGCTCCTCTAACAGTGATATCTGGTTAAATGCTTAGATGGCATTGGGGTATTTTTATATAATAGTTCCCTTGGACATGTCTGTTATATGACAGCTCCTGATTCTGTTATGAGGCTTTGAAAAAATTAACAAATACTAATTTGCTGCTCTGGGAAATACTATTGTTCGGTCTCACTTTTCTAGGAGCCAGATTGCTGGGACACAAGCTTCTGGTTTGGTTACCCAATCTACCACAGGGTAGATTCCTAGATACAAGTGTCAGTGCTGGTCATCACTTGTGTAATAAGTGATCTCAGTTGTGAGGATTTTTTTTTCCTACTAAAATATATTGACTTGTGACTTCTGTTTTGTGTTTGAAAAGTGTTTTGCTGGGGAAACAACCTTGTTAAAACTAAAATACTAAACTGACAAATTTAAGGTTCTCAGGAGAGCATCAAAAATTATATAATAAAGCTTCATAAGGCGACACTAACTTGTAACTTTTGACTTCCAGTGTGAACACAATAAATGGATCTCACTGAAAAAGCAAACATTGTCCACTAGTTAAGGGTATGTTTCTGGGTGGAAAATTTGGTCACATGAAGACTCGTGTCTACTTGAATGTGTTAAATACTTGAACTGTGCCATGCTAAGTGAGTTTGTCCAAAGGAAAATAGAACTAACAAACACCTCTACCCAGGGCTTTTAAAGAAACGTTGGAGCCCAGTCTTTACTTTCCTAGTTAAACTGGAATACTCACTTGAAGGAACTGCATAAAAAGACTTCATAATCAGTTTTGATTTTGTAGGTGGCTTATGTTGTTTCAGTCTTCAAACTACCGTGTGGTTCTGTATATACTCTCACTTCTGGAACTATTGGTGGTAGTTTGGAGGAAGAGAATAGTGTTTATAAATTGGAAGTAAAATGCTTATGTACGTTTCCAGGACATAGATTATAATACAACAGACACATTTAGTTACCTTTTCAGCTTCATATTTTTGGTGCATTTTTTAGTACACCTTAGGATAAAACAGCCTGTTCTTTTGGTTCTTAATATGGTAATTGAGGAAGCAGTAATTCTACTTTTTTTTTTTATTTCTGTGCAATTTGCCTTTAAGTAACTCGCATACGATGTGAATTTAAGAAAATAAAAAAACCTGTTCAAGTTGTCAATATTGCATTAGTCAGTTTATGGGCATATAAATTGTGTGAAAAAACTGGGTATGGTCTGGAGAAAATGACTTGCAGATTTCAGCACTGTCTGGATACTGTTCCAGTTGTGTTATTGGTTGATTTTCACCTTAGGAAATGAGAGTTCGTACAGCAATTAAAATAACTGTTCTTCTAAACCGGAAATCCTTATTCTCACATGCACAGGAAGTGACCAAAGTTCAGAAAACAATAAGACAAATACCATCTTTACTAAAAAGTCATAGGAATTTTTAATAACTTTGGATTTCATTGGAGTTGTGTATGTAAGTATTTTGTATATTCATTGTTCATCTGCTGATAGTTAAACTGTCAGTGATTTGAAGGACAGTGGAATTTTGTCATGGTGCTTGAGACAAGGTTGGGACTTAGAAAAAAGGGAGGGTAGGGTGTTCACAACTTTCAGGTTTTGTCTGTATTAATGTTTGGATAAAATGCTCTGCAGTTTTGTCATTTATTTTGGGATGGTAGATGTTGGTCCCTAAACTTTTTTGGGTATGCATGTGTGCTGCTAACCCCATGTGTTCAGCAGCAAATGCATTCTGAAATATGCAGATGTGTTGGGTTTTTAACACTGCTTTCTCACTGTATTTTGTATAACTTGTTTCTCTATGCATGGTTGTCTTACATTGACAATAGCACGGGAAAGTTGTGTTTAGTCCTAGTTTAGCGATGTACTCAACCTGCGGGAAGTGGAAAGACTTTTTTTTATAGGATAGGTAGATATTAAAATACAGGTATGCTCAGGAAAATATTTTCAATGTAGTATGTTACTGGTAAAGTTTTAAGCTGAAGGATTTATGACTTACTTTCTCATTTTGGTGTTTTAGTAGGCCCTTTGAGGGGAACAACCTGTTTTCTTAAATTGCTAAACTTAAAATAATTGCTCTTCCTACTAGTTAAAACTTTAGAATTGATTACAATAGTCATTGCTATTAGTGCACTTACAGTAAGATATGGTACTTGCCATATGTAGGTCTCTGTTTAAGTTTTCCATGTGGGCTGGTAAATTCTTGCCTTCTTATGGCTGTAAAATGCCTCTGTGTCATCCAGTACTTTTAACAGAAAAACTTCCACGTTGTTTTCTAGATACCGAATTGCAGCATTATGTTTTAGTTTTGTGGATGCTCTGCACTGCTGCTCATCATGTTGCATCTGGTTTATTAATGAGTAAAAGACTTTGATTATTTGCCCTGCTGTTTCCTCATGCATCTCCTCTTGCATTTGTTGCACCTGTGCTTTTGCTAACTGATCCTGCAGTTCATTGTCTTGTTCTGAGTTTCTGCTTGGCCCATTAAAAGTTTTCCCCTTACTGGACCTTGTTTCCAGCTTTTTCTATCACATTTTTAGTTAGAAGCATTATTAGTCGTGTGTAATATTTTATATTAGCAGCATTTGATTAATTTTATAAGGTGCTTTTGGAACAACAACTTTCACCTGCCTGTTTTTGAGTTATTTCTCAGTAAATAGTATATAGTTTTTTGTCATCTAACTAATTTTTTTATTTGAGTAAAGAAAGTATTGTTGTTTTTGATGAAGTTTTAAGGTGTACAACTTTTTAGCTATTTAAATTTCACACTTTATGTTAATATCTTCGCTTCAGTGTAGTTACCACAATAACATGATTTGCACTTTGCTGAATTTTTTATTTTATTTTTTCCCCCCCAGGAAATGTATGAGGTTGCCAAGAAACTTTGCTCCTTTTGTGAAGGTCTTGTACACGATGAACATCTTCAGCATCAGGGCTGGGCTGCCATAATGGCCAACTTGGAAGATTGTACATACTCTTACCAAAAGCTGCTTTTCAAGTTTGAAAATGTGTATTCAAGCTATTTGCAGTCCATAGATGATATCAAGTTGAAACTTACACAGTAGGTTTGCTATTAAATTCAGTCTCAGTACTTTAAACATAGCTTTTGAGTCTTGTATGCCTGGTGCTGGTTCTGATTAATCAAGCATGTGTTTGTTTGATTATGTGTCATGGAGAACATTCTTTCTGTTCTTTACTGGCTATATCTTTAACTGACATTTTTCCATGTATTCATCAGCACAAAAGAACTTGAATTATATGGAAAATAAGCTCATTAATGAACAGCTGTTTAAGAGCTGGAGTCATTCCAAATGTACACGAGAAATAGCTAGATAATAAATTTAGACATTAAGATTTTTTTAAATGCCTATTTACACTTTTGAATTAATTTTTTTTAATACACTTGAGGAGATATTAACAATTACAGTCTGTGTTCAAAGTATGAAGTCATAACACAAATTTTGAGTGTATATGTATACCTTGGAGGGGGATGTGTGCATATATGTATGTATATGTTTGTATACTTCTGTCCTGCATACTGTGGATGTTACTTGGAGGAAAATCTTCTACATCTTTGTGACTGTTATAGTATTATGGTGTTTATATGAGTGCTTTGCCTGATAGAGTGTAAGTGGATGTTGGATACTTAAAAAAATAAACCATAAATAAGTTTTATCTTTAAAAAATGTTTAACTATTCAAACTCTGCAAAAGTAGTTGGACAGAGGATACTCAAATCTTTGATAGTAAGCATTGGTATCCATGCAGATTGGAAGTCCCAGTTGTGTGTTTAAAAAAAAAAGAAAAGCAAATGAGTATGTCTCAGTTTTGAACTCTTTTTTTTTTCACTTCATTATAAGCTTACTTCCTAGTTTAGAACACTTCATATTCTGCAGTAGAAGAGAGCAAAAACTGATTTCTTCCTTTGTCCTTTCTTGATGTTAATACTGAACAGAGTATTTTGAATGAGTAGTTCCAAAGTAATTTTGAGATCTGTTTCAATTCTAAAATAAATAGTATTTTATATTGCAGGTGATTTGTAGCTAAGATTTTGTGCCACGTTGGCTTCTAGATAATGATGTTTTTTTCTTTTCACTTTTTAAAAAAAGGTTGGGTTCTGCTGTTTCTATCATGGCCAAGATTCCACTGTTGGAGTGCCTAACAAGACATAGTTACAGAGAGTGTTTAGGAAGACTGGATTCTTCAGCTGAGCATGGAGGAACAGAAAGTGACGAAACTGAGGATGGGAAATCTGCTGAATTGGTGCTTTATCCTGATGCATCTAAAGTGAACAATAAATCAATGTTAGCATCATTTTGCAAGTCAGTTGAACATTCAGCATTGGAAGGCACAGACCCTGAAAATGTAAAAGATGATAAGGAATGTGGTCAAAATGCTACTGTCCAGGACAGCGAAACATCAGTAGAATTGAAAGATGATGATCAACCTTCCTTCAATGTGTCTTTGTTAGACTGGATAAATGTTCAAGATAGACCTAATGATGTTGAATCCCTGGTCAGAAAATGTTTTGATTCTATGAGCAGGGTAAGTTAATTTTTTTTAAAATCAGATTGCATTCCATTGAATGTTGCTGCCTATTCCAGATGCAGCTGCTTCTGAAGTGTCTCAACTTTTTGTAACTACTTGTTTCTCAGAGAAAGGTCTGAATGAAGACCAAAACGGAGACTAGGTATGGATAAGGGTGGGGAAATTGTTTTAAGAGTTCAGGTGTTAAGAGTTTGAGCTTTAGGAAGATGTATAATTTCACAATGGATGCTTGTGACCTTGCTTGTTTCCAACAGGAATGGCTATTTGAGAAAGTCAATAGCTTCTTGTAACATTTAAGCAAAGTGACTTCTATTCTTTCTTTGCCTTTTTCGTAGAAATTACATTTATAATAAAACTAAAGATTTTCCTTGACCAAAGTTAATGTTCTTTGTGTTTAAAATACTGAAACCTTTATTAAAATATAGAACAAATTCATGTGGCTAATTATGATAAAATTATATACTATATCTATGAATTCTTTATTAGCTGATACAGATGTGCTCAGAAGAGCCCAATCAGTCTGGGAAGTGTCAGTTTGTATTTCTGCTGCTGGTAGAATAAAACATTGCTCACTTTACTTTTGAGATTATTATTTTAATCAATGAGTATTATAATCTTCTAAAATTCTTTTACCTATAGTTTTCCTTCTGTCTTTGCTTTCACTGTAGCTGATATTTCTTACATTGTCTAGCCTTGTTTGCGTATGTATAACATCATACTGTTGCAACTCAATATGCCTTGAACAAAGAAAACAATTTCTATTGTCTTTGACACTTCATTTCCTCTGTAAGGTAGGACTGAAAAACTGACTGTTATTTCTAAAACCCATCTGTTTTAGAGAACATTATGATGTGGTCAGTTCTGCGCTGATTTTTTAAATTCTGTCTTAAAAGTAATACTATTAATAATATTAAAGGCTGTTTAAGATTTTAAGCTGTCTGAATTTTAGTAGTGCAGAAAAGGCTAAGAAAAAAAATTGGACGTTACAAGTTTTTTTTTTAGCAAAAACAATAATTGATTTTGTGTGTAAAAGACATCCTATTTGCTGAAGTCTGAGGCAGTCCTCTGTCTGTTTGTTCAGTAATGCTGCCAGGTGCTTTCTACTAATTTAGAGCAAGAGTAACAGAACCCCCTAGTTTGGTTGTGAGACAATAAATTCAATTTCTATGTAATATTAACAAGACACGAATGTAGTGTCACTTAAAATCAATATTTTAGGAGTCAGACATTAAAAAATTGCTTCCGAATAAATTAGAGTGAACCTAAAGGCAAAAAAATGCAAAAAATATTTTGGTTAAATACTTACTCCAGCTTTTTTAATCAGCTTATAGTCTTATCTGACATACATCACATGTTTTAGAGAGGTTGTCTTGTACTTGTCTTTTCTGTCCTTGTCTTACTTAAAACTAGGCAGAAATGCTTTATTTTAATTATCATAACTGTTTTTTAATTTAAGCTGATTAGTTTTTAGGGGAAAAATGTGATTGAACCTGCAAAAATTAAGTTTCTTTTTGTATTCTTGGCATAAGCAGAATTAGCAGGTAGGGAAAATGCTTCAGTCAGAGTATTCTGGCCACCTCCAGAACTGTGATTGATCAATTCTGATCCATTTGGGTTCACAAAAAAAACACCCAGAGCTTTGAAGTAATGTGTTCCTGGTTTTCCTTAGGAAAACATTCATTTACTTGTTATGATTACTAGCACAGACTAAGGATTGAATCTTTTTGGTTACCATTGATATGGAATTAGTTGAAAAAAGAAATGACCTGCAGCTGAAAACGAAAAGAAAATACTAAACATCTTGCGACGTAATTGTTCTTTTAATGCTCATTTCAGATAACACTTTAACACAGTAAGCTAGAAGAAAATGCCACTAATTTTTTTTGATTGTTTTACCTACCTTCTCTCCATGCCCTTTCCTTCTTGGAAATATGAACCATGCAAATGGTTTGTGATTGCAATTCTTGTTGAAAAACTGAATTCAGGTAAGATTTTCATGAAAGTGTAGGGCATCAGAGTAAGGACTTTATACCTTTGGTACTGGTAGTCTTGATGTAACTGGTGTGTTGCACGGAGTGCTGCTAGTTATCTGATGGTTCTAGGCCTTAGGTGTTTCTGCAAAATGACACTTCTAATTACAGAAACCTAGGCTGCAGTAAAAGCAGTGGGTAAGTAGGAGCTGACCAGATGTTTCTGTTGTAGCCACTTAAATAAAAGGCTAGAAAAGGAAGATACTTGGAAAAGATGAGGAGAGCAATATTGTCTACCTGTGAATGTAGAGCTAAATGCTGGAGATGCAATTATGTCAAAGATGGGATGAAAAGAATGGATGGAGAAAATAAATTATAGAGTGGAATGAGAGGAATAGGCATTCCTGTATTGCTGTGAAAAGACATGAAACACAGGTAGAATATGGATGTAAAAAGAAAATTAAAAACCCCCACTACATTGTTCTTTTGTATTTTGTCTGTTAAGAAACTGTTCTGGATGCTGCAGTGGATTAATTCAGGATGTTGAAGAGTAGTAATCCTGAATAGGGTGGCAATGAAGATAATCCTATAAAATCAGTCTGGTTTTAATACCAGAGACTACTTTTCTTATCAGTTCTTGAAGATGGACAATTCACTTGAGAAAGTCCAAGATTTATAAGACATCACATACTAATAATTAACCTTTGTTGTTTTCAGAGAATTTGGATGTATTTTGTCACACTAATAACAGTATTAATTATTTATTCTGAGAAGTTATGGGCTAATTACTGGGTTTTGGTACTTACCCCTGAAGTCTTTTGGTTTGAAGAAAATGGAAGACCTATTTTTTATAATTGCTCCTTAATATGTAAGTGGCATAAATCCTACACGTGGTGAAAGAAGCCACTGGTGCGACAGATAGTATGACCTCATGAATAGCATTCTTTTTACAAGATTCTCATGTAAGAGATGGAATACCCATTTCAGATAAATTTGGGCAAGTTCGTTCATCTTCTACTAACACCTAATGATTCTGATTATGTTCCTAACTAATATATTCCAGGTTTCGACTAAACTCTGTCCTTCATAAGATGTTGTAATTACCTCCATTGTTCTTGGAACTCTTAATTTAATTCACTACTCCTATGATGAAACTTGAAGAGTAACCCTTAATATCTGTGGACATTTGCAGCCTCCTAATGTTTCAGATACTTATTTTTTTTCTGGATGATGGCCTGTGAAGGAATATGATGACATAATTTTAAAAATATGTTTCTATTAGGAAAAAAAATTAGCTAGAAGTACTACAAATACATTATTCCTCCATGACATGTTTTCCAGTTGCTTAGAACTGATCTACTTATCTGAGTAGTCAATTAAAGCATTCATTTAGTGGGAAAAGATTGACAGTTCTTGCAGCTTTTTCCCATCACCCTCCCTTCTGCACTTTCCATTGAGTTACCTTCAGGATTTGTTTTGATTGTAGCTGTATGGACTCTGTTCCAGGGGAGACTGTGTCCATTAGCTTTAAACTGCTTCTTCTCCCTGCATCTTGCTTTGTCCCCTCAATTAATGTCCCTTCGCCTTACGAGGATCCTGATTTCTGTGATGGCCTGGTTGGAATACTTGAAAGATGTTCATGCTGTGATATAGAATCTACAGACTCATTTACTCAGAATTCTGAAACAGATGGCAGATGTAGTCACAGATTAGATTAAAAAAAAAGAAGGAAAGAAAAATAGTGAGATTAAAAAATCTCATTTAACTAAATTATATCACCTTTCAGTGTGTCAACTGCTAATAAATTTTTTTTTTTTTTTTTTTTTTTTTTAGCTTGATCCAAGGATCATCCAGCCCTTTCTGGCAGAATGTCGCCAAACTATCGCCAAACTAGATAATCAGAACATGAAGGCTATTAAAGGTCTTGAGGATAGACTCTATGCATTGGACCAGATGATAGCAAGCTGCAGCAGACTGGTGAATGAACAAAAAGAACTTGCTCAGGTAATACACCTTTGTGTGTGCAATGTTGGAAGATTGTAGATTTTTGTGTATACTGTTAAAGTTACAGTGAAACAATTGCATGTTTTAATGCAAGATAGTTTTCAACATATCACACTGGAGTTGCTCCAAAAGATACTATATTCATAAAAATTTGGCATGTAAATTTGGCAGTTTTTGCATCCTGTGGTCATGTTTTCACGTGGTTTAGAGCTAGAAAATCTTAACTTTAGGAGGAGATAGGGAAAGAGTTAAGTAGAAATACTTTAATATTTTGAAGGTCAATACTGAGTCCTTGGTAACTTGTAACTCAATGATACAGGATCAGGAAAGAGGAAGTGGGCTTAATGGTTGATCATCAGTCTTGTAGTGAGGAGAGTAGTGTGTCTCCACTAGACAGTGTCATTTTAAGTGATAAGAAATTTGATTAAAGGCTATTCTAAATGTAAAACATATAGCTCCTGTTCTTAAAAAAGACTAACTACAATGTCATATGAAAGTTGCTATATTAAATACAGTTCCTGTGAAGGGCTTCAATCAACTCTATGATTAAGGTTGTCCTTTAATGCCTTGTTTGCAGCTGAAAGTATATAAAAATCTGTATATAGCCATTACCTGCTGATCTTCAGATTTTCATCATGAAGAAAGGCATGAGTTTCTTTTTTCTGCTTGCACATTGATAAATTATTAGTGGGAATAAATGAATAATCTTACCTCCCTATCTTGGAGAGAGTTAGAGAAGAGAACTGGGCTGACTTGTGTAGGATCCAGGCTTCTTGCTGCCTCTTAGGTCTGGTGCGTAAAGGTGGGTGCCACCAGTACTTCTGGCAGCATTGTTTAAAAGCAGAGCCTGTCTTCAGATAAGTTCAATGAGTAAGTTTAGAAGCAAGTTTGTCTTGAGTGTGTTTATTTTGTAGGCCAGTGCTAAATGCAAGGTAATTTAGCTTGATGGCTAAGCTAGTCTTCGATCCCTATAGTTGGTTGCCCCATACAGTGAGTGGTGGTTTTCACTGTGTTTTCCCTCTTCCCTTGGATGAAGAGCCTACCTCAAGTCTACCAGTCCCACTTTTGAGTGAGATTCCTAACAGTCAGTTGGAAAGGAAAGTTATTTCATCACCTTGTTTAAATGCTACTGTAAATTTAGAACTTGTATCTTTTCAAGACTTGTCAGAGACTTTAACTTTCAGATCTTCATCTTTGCCTTTTCTGTTTTACAAATTGTCTATTCCTTTACATATGATATAATGGTTTTTAAGCAAAGTCTGCTAGAATGTGATGGTGTGTTTGGGGTTTTATTGGGGTATTTTAAAGCTTCAATTAATTGAATGTTCATGGTTAAACAAGTAATTAAATGTACTGTGAGATGCTTTTATGAATTGATTTTTATATTTGAGCCTTAGTAAGTATTTTCATACCAGCTTTAATAGTTGTTTGGGAAAAAAATGAGATACTTTTAAGATACTAGAGTTGGTATCATGTTATGCATTAAAATGATAGTCTGCATGGAAATTGAAGAAGATTGGCAAAGTGCAAGGGCTTAATTATATTTAAAAATACAGATGAGGACTTGTCTATTTAATTTAAAGATAGTGCTCGCAATTTGTGTTATAACATATATATATATATATTTGGTGCTATATGAAAACACTCATAGTTTTTCTTAACCTCACACCTTCCAGCAGTGAACTGTTCCTGTTCATAAAGAAATAACGTGGAGGCACTTTATTAGAACAAAGATAAGGAACATCTCAGTGTTAATCTCATTGGCAGTATTTGGTTTGGAAGCTGTAGGCTTATTTTCCTCTAACCAGGAAAAGCTGTTGTTCTGTCCAGAATCTGAGTTGACTTTCTATGCCAATCTCAGTTTCATTATTAAAATTCAAACCAAACTTGTCCCACGGAACAAATTCATTTGCTGCTTGATGACCTCATTGCATTGTTAATTCCCTTGTTCCTGGACCTGCCTTAGAAGTTTTTTTTATTTCCATTAGGCTGTTCAATTAACTGACCATTAAACAACCCTTAACATTTAATAAGAAAAGCTGCCTTGATAAATTTAAAAACTGGTTTTCTCTGTGGACGCTGGGATTTGTAACATGAGCGTATAGAGCTGCGGTCAGCAGGTGGCATTATGTGATAAGAATATGCCTCTAGAAAATTTGGAGCCTCTCTGATCTTTCAGTGTGATTCTGCCCAAGAACTTATCCTTTCCAACATTGCCTTGTGTTGGATTTTATATTTTTTTAAATTTCCGTATTAGTTAGTGTAGCTTTTTAAAACATTTTATTGCATCTTGTGAGAACAATTGATTATCTACATATTGGATTTCTCCACAATTTATTGGTGTTCCCCTAACCCTTCTGCTTTCCCTCAGTTTATTGCAGTTTTTCCTAATTGACCTTTTTCAAGTATGCTAAGATTTTTCTCTCTGATTTGCATGCTAGGGTAATTTTAGTTTAAATTTTACTTTAAAGATGAGTCCACAGATACAGAAATCTCAAAAATACTCAACTTCATGAATAACCTTTTGAAACTGCAAGTAAAACTGAAAAAGATTTTCTAGCTCACTGCATCCAGTTTTATGGAACTTCAAGCTCTATGCCATGTGATTCATTTAAAAAACTTACTGAGTTGCTATTTAAAAGCAATTATTTTCTTGACTTCTCTAATCCTGATGCAAAGTTATATAGAATCTGATTGTCCTAATGTCTATAAACATCTGTTAATCTGAGATTTGAAAGTATTCTTGGCTAGTTCAAGTCTTTGTCACATGCCCATACTGCCTTTCATTTCAGTGCTTGAAAATTCCCTAGCTGTTATCACAGCATGTTTCTTCAGTGTCTCTGTCTTACTTGAGTAAACAACCCAACTTCTTTTGGTGGGGCTCTGTTCTTCATCAATAACAGTTTTCCCCACCTTTTCTGGTATTGATTTGCTTGGTTCAGATAATACATACAGTTAAGATGTTTCCGACCAATATTTGTTTCCCAGAGGGTCTTTGCTCATTCAGTACAGAAGTTGCTCAGAGTTCAGTAAATGGTGGATTCTTCAGTATTCTCTTGCATCTTTGATGGGCATCTTCCTTCTCATTATACTGAATGTACTTGTTTGATACTTACTTTGATTTCTGTACTGCTCTCATGAGGAAATAAATATTTATTGCAGGCTTTGTAAATGTGTTTTATAGCATCTTAAGCCTAGGCATGATGATGATGATGAGGACAAGATTGTTTTTATTCAATATCAAATCAGTAATGACTGGTTTCATTTTTCGGCAGTTTTTATATAACTCTACGGTTTTCTGTTCTCATCAACTTCAGCTTCAGAAAGAAACACTTAAAACTATTGCCTGGTTTTGAATTCTTTATTAAGGAAAGAGACTTAATAAACAAGTTTGTAGAACTACAAATATAGTGACCATTGTGATGTTCAAGCAACGTGTCAGAGATAAGATATGAATGTGGACAACAGCAAGGCTAAAATTGGTGGTATTGGGTGGTATTTGCTTGCCTAAAAAACCACACTGTTTCCAGGAATATTTTTATCTTGTCTGTTGAATGAGATGAAGTATACAATGGCCTAGCACAGTAGTTATGCCAGCAGTCTCCATGTTTCTTCTGTATGTGCACATATGTTATCTCCTGTAATCAGCCATCTAAGACATGTTTATCAACAGCAGGCCATCTTCTCTGTTTTGCCTCCCACCTTTTTAGGGTTTACCTGTAACCATCCACAATGGGTGATTCTTTGCTGTGCCCACCTCCTACATGTGAATAAAATGTCTGACTGATCTTGGCTTTTGAGAAGAATTAGTGTAGTGTGAATTTCTTTATTCAAAAAATGTATATTCTTTAGCCCACAGTAGTACTAAACGTGCTTTAAGTTGGTATTAAGTCTTGCATATACCAGAAGTTAACAACAAGATTGTTTGCAGGAATTAGGATGATGGTTGATCCCCTCTATCCTAGCAGCTACTCTTCTGCAGCATTAATTTTTGCGACCTTTCTCTGGTGTTGGTTAGTTGTGTAAAGTTCTACTAGGGTTGTGTTGGTAACTGTTTGGGAGTGAAGTATCAGATAAGATTGATTTGGACTGGACTATAGAATGGAAAGAAAGCCACTTTGAAACTTGATTTCTCCATGTATCTTTTTGTTATACTCCTCAGTGGTTACAGTAGGTTTATTAAACTTCTTGCATTTCTAGAGGAGATGTATCATTTCCATGCTTTTTGATTGTCACAAAACTTGTGTAACAAATGTCTCTCTTCCTCTAGGGATTTTTGGCTAATCAGAAGAGAGCTGAGAACTTGAAAGATCCTTCTGTGCTGCCTGATTTGTGTTTGAGTCATGCAAATCAGCTGATGATTATGTTAACTAATCACAGAAAACTGTTAGATATTAAACAGAAATGTACCACTGCCAAACAAGAGCTTGCAAATAATTTGCAAGTCAGACTGAAGTAAGTTACAACTTCGCAAATTTTATTGCTTCAGGTTGCAACAAGGCTGTTTAAGGAATGTGTGTCTTAAGGAAATCATTACTATGAGAGAGTGAATGCCTTGTAGTTTCTCTGTTGGTATGTTGCTTAACGTTGACTTGTTTGTATTTGTTTCACTTTTGCTTGACTTCTCTCAATAAAAGCAATTTCTTTTTTTTTTAACTTGTGGTATATGCCTCCACCGTATGTATTCTCTAGTGGCAAAGTTGCTGTAATGTTTCTCCTCAAGCCCACCAGTTGATCACCTTTTCAGTAGTTACCCTGTGATTTAGTTATGTTGGTGACTGTGCTTGAAATTAGTCTGTTGATTGTATCATGGATAATGGAAGTTATGTTAAAGGGGCTGTATCTTTGAGTGGACTTCTCAAACAGGGTTTTGTTCTTAATTCTTTGACAATATTCCTACCCTTACTATCTCTTGCTGATGCTTTTCAATAAATATTGATAAGATTTATAAACTAAAAGTAATCTTTTTTTTTTTAACTGAGTAGGTATCAGCTTTCTTAATTCTACTGGAGAAAGCTACATTATTATTGGTCCTAAGGTCATTTATGCTAAGATCATTTCTTGCCAAAACAATAGCTCTACTCAAATTGTGGTAAATGTTCATTTTTTTCAACACTGATGTGGATGACTTACTGTAAGAAATTAACAGGCAACTGCAAGGTGACTACTGAATTCTGAGTAGCTTGGTACTTTCAGATAGTCTGTTATTGTCCCATGTGAAATGATGCCCTTGTTCATTTCATCCAGATGTTGCTAACCTAATTTAAATGAAAAAAAAAATTACTGAGTTGCAATCTTCTAAAGTGTAACCTACTTTTGTAGGTGGTGTTGTTTTGTAATGCTTCATGCTGACCAAGATGGAGAGAAACTACAAGCACTACTTCGTCTTGTAACAGAACTCCTAGAAAGGGTCAAAGTTGTAGAGGCTCTCAGTACTGTTCCTCAGATGTACTGTCTAGCTGTTGTTGAGGTTGTGAGGAGAAAAATGTTCATAAAACACTACAGGGAGGTAAGTAAATAAAATTTTGAGACCAAACTTTAGTGTCAGTGTATAAATTGACAACTAACTACGTATTTTTTCCCTTTCACAGTGGGCAGGTGCTTTAATAAAAGATGGTAAACACCTATATGAAGCTGAAAAGGCAAAAAGGGAATCTTTCGGTAAACTGTTCAGTAAGTACTTTCTCTTATGTGAAATGAGAATTGTGTTCAAGTATAACTTTTGTAGTTAAAATACTTTCATTATATTTTAATTTCAATACCTGTGTAACTTTTTTAAACTTAAATAGGAAGTTCATGCAGTGTGTCAGGTGTTCCTACTGTGAACAAAATGATTTTCTATTAACCAAACCAGAGAACTGTTTCATATAATTATCCAAAATACTGTGAAAGTTGTGATTAGTTTAATGTTTGTAAAAGATAAGATTTCTAACTATTAAATTTTAATGCAGTTTTTGTTTAAATGTTCCCTGTGTGTTTTACTGTTCTTCTAAACAACACTTTTAAAACTATTACTGGCTATTTGGGTGTTGCTATGACTTCCTCTGGACTACTTAAGAAAAACCCAAGAACTAAGACCCATGTCTAAAGACCTTGATCAGAAGTTTAAAGAAAACTTAGAAATGAAGTTGCTGGTAAAAGTATTCTTATTACTCCTTCTGCAAAGTCTGCAACTTGTGTTCTGAATTGGCAGCTAAAATAAGAAATTTTTGGAAAGAAGATTAGCAAGGTTAGAGTGAAGGTTTGGAAAAGAAGTTGAGGATTTTGTATGGGTGAGCATTAAGCAAAAGGAGGCTTCCATGAAGTGAGAAGTTCTACCTGAATGGTGACATTTTGCCTGAAGTTCTGTGGTCATTCACAATTTTATGTTGTCAACAAATGGCATAGTTAGCTTTCAAATGTAATTCAGCTGTAGAATTGAAGTAACTTAATTGTTTTCTGTTGAGACATTGTTTGTATATTGCATTTCTTTCTTTAAATAACTTTTTTCTCTCTTCCCTCCCCAGGGAAGTCTTTTCTAAGGAATCGTTTGTTTAGAGGACTTGACTCCTGGCCTCCATCCTTTTGTGTATGTACTCATATCTTTGGGTTTATTTAATTTCTGTATACAGCAGTTTCAGGAATTAAAAACCTAAGCTTAATTCATTCAAACTATATCCTTGTCACATTGCTGTGACACAAATGAAAAGGCTGGGAGCTAGTGGCCTATATTAACACTGGTTTGTAACTTGCAGCGTAGCGGGAAAAGAAATGTCAACTTAATACTCCTGTTTATTAAGGAGTCTGTGATATTGAACAAAAAATTGTTGTTAATGGTCAGAAAAAAAGAAACCAGGAGGAATAATTTGATCATCTAATCATCTTGTGGATAATAGAGCCATAAAATTAATCGAATGGTAAAAGCAAGTAAAAGGTCTCCCTGTTTCCTGATAATCACTGAATAATTGGAAAAGCATTTTTGTCTCTTAATTGACTGATAACATGAAGAGGTGAAAAGTATATCTGTAATTAAGCATTGACTGCTAACTTTGATTTTGTACAGCTTGGTTAATTGAAGTAAGCTAACTCCCTGATTCTAATGTTGCCATCTCACTTTGCCTTTTTAACGTTTTAGCTTCTCCTTTCCAGCTTTTTTTTTTTTAAAAGATACTTGGAAAATAGGAATGCTACTCATTTCACTTTTTCAAATACTGAACTGAGTTAATATTTTACTATCTGTTCAGCAGCATAATAAATAAAGCTTCAATGCCATCTCTTATCCCTTAACTTTTAAACTCATCCATAATATTTATGAAGCTTGGAAATAGGGAGGAAGTTGGACTAGATGCTTGTAGATGGATAGAAATAGTGGATGCAAATGTGAAGGTGTTTTTTGGGGTTTTTTTTTGGTGTTCTTGTTTGTTTTTTTTTTTAGGGGGATGGGACATGATTTCTTAAAAAAAAAATAAATCTTTTGAGAGAGATCAGTTTAACATCTTTTCTGTGTTATTTATTAAGCTCTTTTTAATCCTTCCTTGGTAATCTTGATTTTCACCTTTACAACAATGTGTAAATTAATTTCTTCTTTACAGACACGAAAACCTCGCAGATTTGACAGTGAGCTTCCAGATATCTCATTGAGTGACTTGCAGTTTTTACAGTCTCTTTGTCCTTCAGAAGTACAACCATTACTCAGGTAAAGCACCTTTTTAAACTTTGTGTGTTACAGAAATAGCTTCCCCTGGTGGTCCCACCTTCTTCAACTTTCCAACCCCAGATTCATTTTCCATAAAGAACAGACAAGGATATTTTCTGAACTGATACCATCCTTAACCAATGGTCTTCACTGATACATATCTATGTGCTTCATGTACTCAAGCTTTGATTTGAACACATGTATTCTGTATTGAGATGTAAAGCATGATGGGTGTTCTTTTGAACTGCCTCATGGTTTAAAAAACAAAATGTTGTCAGTTTCAAATTGAAATAAACTCATAACTTTGTTTTGTCAGATCAGAATTAGATTAGATTTTTGTTTTCTTTGCTTTTGCTTTTTGTTATGTGCTATTCCGGAGGAAATAAAATTAATGTCTTTAGCTCAGCACGAGTTCATAGGGATCTCTTATATTTAATTACTGTTTTTTCTCTAACACACTGATTTTACTAGGAAGTGTATTCTCCAAGTGCCTCTGCTGTCTATGGAAATCCATAATTTTGAGTAGAAGCTTTGTTTCTGTGTTTCTTACTTCCCAGCAGTGAGGCGGACATGCATATGTAAACAGGAAAGCTACTGTTTTGTCTCACGAGAAACGTGACAGGTTTAGTTTCTTATCTAGAACTTGGAGATGTCTTTCTGGAAAAGATGACTGTTAGAGTGAGCTTTCGAACTTGCATGTCTTAAACCTGGAGCAGTCAAGATGGGGAAATGCCAACCAAGATAATGGGCAAGAAGTGGGCAGTAGCAAGTTCTCTGGAAGGTTCTGTCTAAGAGGAGATCTATCAGTATGACTACATTCGGATGTTTCATATTGCACCATCCTTCACTAGATGAGATCTTCAGAGACTTGCTGAGATTCTTTTTTTTTTTTTTTCCTTGCCCCAAGGCCACAATCCCACAAAGGTGGGATTACATTTGCAAAGGTAAATGCAAGAGGCCGATGCTTCACTGCCATCTGTCAGTTACCTATCATGTTCACCAACAGCGTCAGTCCAGTACCTGTTACTGGTGCTTAACACAGGTGTAGAATTAACTGCTTTTTTTCACCTATATTTTGTACTGGCATTCTTTTTGATTCATTATCTTTGTGGTATTGCTGTTGGAGTTAAGAATAAGTGTAGTGAACTTGGTCTGCTTGACAGTGGATTTGTGCTACGTCATGCTATAGTTCATGCTCCCTTTTAATTTTTCTTATTCTGCTCTTAGTCTTGTTCCTCATTGATTCTGCAGGGGGGAAAAAGTGCAAGCTGAAGTATCCTATTGCTAATGTTTGCCCGATTTTTTGATTTGTGAGAATTTTACAAGCTTTCTGGGAAGTTTGTACTGAGTTGAGGGCAAATTTTGCCTTGCTGTTGTCCAGAAACCAATCCCTAACAAAGCTGTTTTAGTTGATCTGAATTGTAGTGACATAGTTTCCCACTTGATGGCAATAGAGGTGGGATTATGTCATGTTCCTCCTGGTTTTTTGGCTCAGTGTTGCATTTAGTGAAAATATAGATAATAGAGGTGAACTTGCAACTCAAGTGCAAAGCTATCACACGCTTTGGGTAGACACTGAGCTTCAGAAGAAACTTGAGTAGTACATTCTTTGGTATATTCATTTAACATGTAAAGAGCAAGCAACAGGCGAACTGAGACCCAGCACAAAATCCTTTTCTATCAGACTGAACCCCTGAGCTTCATAATTAAAATGATTTTTCAATTTACTTACAGTACCTCAGTCTTCTGAAATTGTATGCTTGAGCAATTATTGAAATCTTAATTCTACAAAAATATACCAGATGCCACTTGCCTTATATATTGAACAGAGAATGCAGAATACATTGAGGTGTAATCTTCCAACACTTGCAGTATGATCATGACACATCAATCAGTCTTTTAATTTGGGTTACCTATCATGAAAATGAAATAGTAGAGAATTAATTGCTACTTCAAAGGAAGAGCTGTGTTGAAGAGAATCCAACTGGAGAGAAGAATAGAGTCATTTGCAAACATAAGTGCTTCAATTTGCTTCAATTACAGATCTAATCACTACCAGTTGTCTTCTGTTACTGTTATTGTAACTCTAGGTCCTACTGGCAAATGTTTCCTGTGGGAGAAAAGACTGACATGTTACTTGCCTGTCGTGTTTGTTATCTACTCCTTAAAAGCTCTCAAGGTTTTAATATCAAGTGCAAATACTGGGTAGTCTTACTAGATTTTCCATGTAAAATAGATTAAATAAATCAAGTATGAACCTTATACAGAGGGAAGTTTAGTGTTGTTGAAATATACACTTTAATATATTTGAATATTAAACTAACAGTGTGAGAAAAAAAAGTAATCCTGTACTATTTTTAAGGGTTCCCATACTTTGTGACTTCGAATCTCTTCACCAGCATGTACGTGCTCTACATAACCTGGTAAAGGCAGCACAGAGTTCAGATGAAATGTCACAAACGATTACAGACCTGCTGAATGAACAAAAGGTATTTTTTCTTTCCTTTACCAATAAAAAAGAGAATATTATATTCAAAATAGTAGAATATTTTCATGGTGTTGTTTTTTAAAACACTTCAGAAAGCAACTTTGTTTTTCCTGATGTAAAGATTAGTTGGTGTCATTACTGCATAAGTTTCCTTTCTAATCATGAAGTAATAAACATTCCATAAATTTTGAACTCTTCAAATACATAAAGCAAGTATCTAGAGAATAGTCAAAAGATATTCAATAGCTTCTAAACATTTAACAGATGTTTCTATTCTGCAGAAGTTGTAGAAGTAGAATTACACTGTTAATATTTTTTTCTGCCACTTTCAAATCTTCTGTCTACAGAATGTCTGCATTCTGCCTTCGTCACTTTAGTTTGTATTCAATGAAACTGTTTTCTCTAGATTTCTCCGTTGCTTCTTAGGTCCTTTTGGCACAAGCAGTTAAGGAGATTTTAAGGCCTTGGTTGGCTGTTGTGCAGCTTTCTTCTTTGAGTACAGAAGGAACAGATGGCAAAAAGATCTTCTCCCAGTTTTTCTGCCTGTCAAACGGATATCTTCCCCTAGAAACTGTGTTTCTGCCAATCGCTTTTGCTTCTGTGTGTTCAACCTCGAACTTTCGTAATATATCAGAGTCCTTTTAGGTTCTGACTGCAGCCTGTCTCAGTGAAGCTCTTGGTGAATTTAGGAATGCTTAAGATTTTTTGTGAAGATTACTGCTTCAAGTTTGGAGTTTTTTCTGTAGAAAATCAGGGTCAGTTTGGGGTACTGCTATCATTTATGGTGTAAATTCTTGTATCACTTGACTGACTAGAAGCATCTTCTGTAACTGCTAAGGCTGCGGGCATGTTTAATTTTGAATAGCAATTTCCTGCTTAAATCAGGTGACGTGAAGTCCTCTATCTTTTTATTTCTCTGTGACTTGAAAGACTTCCAATAAATCTCCTGTTCATTTATGTAAAATATGAAATCTGGGCTACTCTTTGTTCTATAACATAAAAGAGGTGTGTCACCTAAGTAATTTTTTAGCTATTTTCTCTCTTTATGAAGATTGTTTTTCAAATGAACAGCCATTAAGAACAAGAATATTAGAACCTCAACACCTTAGCCATTGAAATGCCTGGAAGTGGTGTAAATTCTGTGATATTTTGAAGTTTTCTGAACTTGCCCTTTCAACAGACCTTTGTCTGAAATACAGAAGTTCACTCTCAGCATGGACTATCCTGAAATTTATCTCGTACGAAACCAAGATAATAGCAGGTGTTCTAGTAAATTAATTTTTCACTAAGGCTTGCAATGTCAGAAGTGAGAAATTTAAGATTTAATTCGAAATATACATAGTAACAGTAGAAAAATAAACAGGAAATGTACCTGACTTCTTGTGGTTTGCCCTTCTTGGTTCAGACTTGCCTATCTGAGAAATTTTTGTCAGTATCTGGCTGCACAAAAAAAGATGTTTGTCACATCAGGAGAATATTCTTCCCACTCTTCTCTTTTACTGTACTTTGACCACTTTGGATTCCTGGCTGATGCAGAAATGTCAAGTGTTTAGACAGATTTGGATAATTGTCTCTTTCCTTAGAGTAAATTGCATTGCACAGTTAGAGCTGGGCCGTTCATGATGTCATCTTGAAAATGCCCATTTCTGTGTGTAATTTCAGTGATTCATTTTAACTCTTTTTGGAATTGAAGCAAATAGATTTGTCAGAGATTTTTTTTATTCTCAAAGACCGTACTCTTGTTACTACATGATAAAAGTCTTTCTCTGTATTGCTTTTCCCACAGATAATCTAGAAGTGTTTTTTAAATTATGCTACTTTTGCCTTTTTATTGTGTAGAATTACTGAAATAATTTTTAAAATATTCCTTTTTTACCCCTGGTATTGATAGGAATTTAGAGTAAGTAATTAGAAGGATGAATAAACATTTAATGATCGTCCCAAAGATGCCTACAACTTCATGCAGCCACACATTCTGTTGATGAACTGATATATTGTCCCAGTTTGGTGCAGAGTTGGCAACAACTGGTCAGGTGTTGAGTGTTACCCATACAGCAAATTATTGCTCTTGCACTTTCCCAAGGAGACACATTTGACCTCATCCTCCCTTTCCATGCTAGTGGCACCAGAAGCCTGGTTCTTTAAATTGGACTGGGATAGTTCTCCTGAGTTGTTTGTAGTGCAGAAGTCTTTCCAGGTCAAATGGGAGCTCATCCTACTGCATCAGCTACAGCAACTGGTCTTTTAGTAGTTGCTTTAGGCAGGAGAGAAAAGTTGTGACTGTAGACAAGTGAGCAAAGAGCAAGTCAGAGGAGATCCACTACCTTACTAGGGGTGTTAAGAGTATTTCTTTCTAAGTGTCCCCATACCTCTTCCTGTTTCAGCTTCCAAGTTCATAGAACGTGATGATGTGCTTCTCTATCTGATTTCTTTTTTTAGTATTACATCAGGGTAGTTAAAGAATATGGTTGTGGATATTTGTTTAATTCGTTACTACTTTGAAATCTGTTTTCCTCTTTAATGGTTTCTGCTCATTCTTTGTAATTTAATAGTCTCACATCAAAGATGTGGCTGTGCCCTCTTATTTCCATAATACAGGAAAGTTTAGGCAGATCAGTGATTGGGTTAAAAACTGTCCAGGAGAAAGTTAAGGTGCTGGTAGGAGTTGGGTAAGATGATTAAGGTGTCTGCTCCATGGTTAGTAAGTGATTAACATATGCAATCCTTTGCTGTTAAAAGTTTCTCTTGTAAGAGCAGCTGGCTTTTCAAATCAGATTATGAATCTACCATTTCTTCTAGTTGAGTTCTAAATTCAAACACTGTTTGTAATCTCTCTAAGAGTTGCCCCATTCTCTGAGTATGTTTATTGTAGTAACATAACTAGAACAAGGCATGTAATCCAACAGTACCTGGGAACTGTGAAATTAATTCTGCTTTTCTGTCTCTGCTTTCTATTTTTTTCTTGTTCACTCTTGACTCTACTTCATCACCACAGAAATTAGTGTATGACACATGCATACATTGCTACCTGTAGATTGTAAAACAGACTAGAAGGCAGGCACAGGCTTCTTAGGGAAGAAGTGATAGTAAAAAAGCTCTTCATATAGTTTCAGCTACTGAAAATGTGAGATATAACTCTTTACTAGGCATTAATCTGGTACTCTCACTAGACACTCAGCTCACAGCAACCACTGCTGAGGTGTGTAATATATTACAACCCCAGGTCATGAGAAAACCAAGTTCATTAGAGTGTTGCTTCACAGAGTGACAATTATTTTTTTGTTTTTCTTCATGCTATATTCTTATTCTTTACCTTTTAGTATGATTCTGCAGGATTGCTAAAAGTAGATACCATCTTTCATTTGCATGTGGCTTTCTGTTGAATACAGGCATGTATCAACCTGGATCCTTCAACATTTATTTTTCTAAGTTTTCTTAGATAAACAGCAAGCTGAAATTAAACACAAGGGAAATACTTTAAAAATACTTAAACCTGGCCTAATAGTAACACTAAAAAGGAGCATTTTCCTTTAATTTTTCATCTCATGTCCTCTTCATTTTTGATAAATAAAGACAATATTTTATATGTTATGACAACAAGTTTTTTTTTATAAATGGTTTTCATGACTGAATTTCAAAATCATTGTGTGATTTACTTTCATAAAGATGCAAAGGCTAATGGATGTGAGGTTTAAATGCTAAATAGATGAGCTTTGGAGCTGGAAATAGATTATTCTTAAATCAGAGTTGAGAATTGTTAATCACACTACATCTCCATTAAGAGAACATTTTCACAGTACAGAGGAGGATTGGGTACCTTTTTAGATAACAACCATTTGTAAAAGACTGAGAAAACAAAAATTGGGTATTTATACACTGGCAATTCAATGTCTGTTACTTCTGGGGTTTTACAGAGTTCTGTTGCTGACCATTTGTTGCCAAGCTCCACTGATTGTTGCCAGTCAAGTTGCTGAATTTAGTGGATGGCAAAAGTTTATTCAATAAAAACTAACATGAAAAGATTCATCTTCAAACATGCAATTTAGAATAGCGTATGCACTGGAACTTGAGATCTTGCTTTATAATTCGTATAGTATTGAACAAGAACTGATGATAATGAGGTTTAAAATGTTACCTAATCACAATTAATTGAAAAAAATTGATTTGAAGGAGAGTTTTTAGCCTTTTAAGAATCAAAGCACTGGAATTGATCAGAATTACTTGGGGACAGTCCCATGAAGGTGGAGAAGCTTTAACTAATCTTTTTTTGGTTTACAAGGTGGTGTTACTCGTGAATTATTATGCGTGTTTATTCTAACCGTTAGCTTTTCAGCTGAATATTGAAGGATCTGGTGCTACAGAGTCAGGTTGGGTGGTATCCAGGGTCTAGAGGCAAAATGACAAAAATTGGGATCTATGGGAATGCATGAAGAGGGAAAAAAATCCACTCTGACTGTGATGTCTTGCATTCTGAAAGATCAGAATGTTGCTTTTAATTAGAATGTGCTCTTCATTATGTACTAGTTCTACACTCTCACATGCAGAACAATTCATACGTGTTTTAATATGTTAGTAGACAACATTTTTGTTTACAGTAAAGCTTTTTGTAAGCCTTAGTTGGGTATGTTAATAATGACTGGGTTACAGTGCTTTTTTTAATAACAGGATTGGCAATAACAAAATAAAAATATTTTAGTAACAAAATTATTAGGAAAACTGAGTTCAATAGGCTGTTAGAAAACAAAGCCTATTTCTGACTGATTACTTCATTTTATTGTCATCCAAAATTATGTTTCAGTCCTTTCAAATACAGTTGGATGTGATCTACATAGGACTTTTGGCTAGATGAATGTTTAATATTTATGTGTTTACATTTAGGCTTTTTTGAAATATAATAAAAAATCTCTTTCTGAATTTTACAATTTTTTACTTAAGTTTTAGTAGTACATATTTTGGACTCTTAAAAATAATAAGGCTTAATTTTTTGTTTTTAAAGTTCTTGTTTTGCTTGGTAATTTTTAATCAATTTTTAATATTGATGGTTTTGCTTATCGCTTTGTTGAGTGTTTAATTCGTATTTTATTATTTGTAGGCCTCCAATAGCCAAGCTTCGCCACAATCTGCTACCACACCAAGGATGGAAAGTACAACAGGAACCGCAATTGCTACCTCTTCAAGAACTCCTCCGTCACTCAGTCTTCAGGGTCCCCTGTGTCCTTCTGTGTGTCCCCCGGCTCCATTAGAAGAATTGTCTCCAGACAGCATTGATGCTCATACATTTGATTTTGAAACTATTGCCCATCCGCACTTGGAGCAAGCTCTTAAGCAAGGATCATTAGACTTGGATTCATTAGCAGAAAGTCCAGAATCTGACTTTATGTCAGCAGTAAATGAATTTGTAATAGAGGAAAATCCGGTATCTCCTAATGTAATAAGTGACCCACAAAGTCCAGAAATGATGGTGGAATCTCTTTATTCCTCAGTTATCAATGCAATAGACAGTAGACGTATGCAAGATACAAGTTCTTGTGTAAAGGATGTTTCAGTAGAAAATGCTTCTCTCAATGTTTGTGTGGAGAAGTGTCGGGTTATTGCCCAAGACTCCAAGGTACATTTAAGAGGCATAAAAGAAGATCTTTGCCACTTTAGAACACTTGTACAAAGAGAACAGTGTGACTTTTCTAATTCTTTAAAATGCACTTCCTTAGAAATAGTAAATACAATTGAGAAGGTAAAACTTTCACTTGAAAAAACACTAAATGATAAGCATCAAAATGAACTACAGTCTTTGAAAAGTGAATATGAAACTAAAATTAATAAATTATTGGAGGATGGTGAAGAAAATAAAAAGAAGATTAAAAAATTAAAAGGTGACTTATTAGGCCTTGAGGAAGTTCTTCAGAATAAGAATGATGAATTTGCAATGGTAAAAAATGAAAAAGAAGCTGTAGTTTGCCTCCAGAATGAAAAAGACCAGAAATTACTTGAATTAGAATGCCAAATGGAGACACAGAATTCTGAAATTAAGGAACTGAGGCAGTCACGTGAAATAGTACTTGAAGACTTGAAAAAGCTTCATGTTGAAAACAATGAAAAACTACAACTCTTGAGGGCAGAACTCGAGAGTTTAGAGCAAAGCCATTTAAAAGAACTGGAAAGCAACCTACAAGCCAGGCATTTACAGGAATTTGAGAAGGTGCTAGCTGAGCACAAGGACTGTTTGGATAAATTAAAAAAAGAGAACCAGCATAGACTTGAACAAATGCAGGAATCTCATGAAGTAGTTATGCAGGAGAAACAACAACAAGTAGAAGAGTTACAACTCAAGGTTTCAGATCTGTCTGATTTGAGGTGCAAATTAGAAGTTGAACTTGCCCTGAAAGAGGCAGAAACTGATGAAATGAAGCTTCTTTTGGAAGAAAGCAGAAACCAGCAACAAGAGACCTTAAGATCTCAGATTGATAAGGAAACAGAAAGCTTAAAAAAGGAGATAGATAAATTAAACAATAAAATACAAATTAGCAGTGATGAATATCAAGTGGGCTTATCAGAACTAAGGACTCTGATGACAATTGAGAAAGATCAGTGCATTTCTGAGCTAGTAGATAGATATGAAGAAGAATCAAATTTACTTAGAACTGAATTAAATAAGGTAACACTTCTTCATAAAAAAACTACTGAGGCAGAAAAAAGACTTTCAGAGCAAATAACAGAACTACAGAGTAAGTTAGAGTTGGAAATGAGTGCCCTAGAAAAGGAAAAAACAGAAAAATTGTCTCTCTGTGAGCAGCAGGAAAAATATGAAGCAATTATCCATAAGCTAAAAGAAGAGAAAGAACTGTTAGTATCTAACCAAGAACAAGACAGACAGTTGCTCATTCAGAAACTGACTTGTGAAAAAGAAGATGCAGTACAAACTGCTTGTAAAGAGTTTGAATTACAGAGGGAAGCTGCTGAAAAAGGGCTTTTGGAAAAAATACAACAACTTGAGATGCAAGTAAATCAGAGGTACTGTAATAATTAAGTTACTGTGTTTTCCTAGTATTTTAAAGTAATCAATATGGTATATTTACTTACTACTTACGCAGTAAGTAAAATTTCTGTGTAATAGCGTTTATCTGGGTTGCTTTCTATATTCACATTTCAAGTTACTTCCATTTTATAGGTAATGGTGTTCACATGTCTGTAGTTAATCTCAAAGATTATAAAATATTTTATACAATATTATTTGCAGACAGCAATGAAATTTTTTTATTTTGGTCTTGTAATGCTACGTTGAAAAAGTGTTTCTACAATAGCAGGTTACTTGAAATTCCGATTTTTGTGTTCTCAGCTCTCCTTTCCCATCCTTTGCCTCGCTGCTTTCCCATCCTTTGCACTGTAGCAGCATGCAGTGGTTTAAGTTTTAGGTTAGGCTGGTAAATTTCTTTTACTGGCTGACTATACACTAGGTTGGTGATAATGGTGTCATGGAAAATTGTGTTGGAATTTATATAAGACTGACTGAGAACTGTCTCATGACCACCTAGACTTCCATTGACTTTTGCTACTCCGTTTATATGTTTCAGGGTCTTCAGTTTGAACTCCGTAATGAAGCACAAATGTGCAACATAATCTTAAAGAACATCCTAATGTCATTGGTTTTCTTTGTTAATTTCTGCAGAGATTTTTCATTTTTAAAAGAAAAATACATTTTCCCCTTGCAAAGCGCGCATAGAATTATTCTTTCTGACTTCTTGTATCTTATCTACTTACTGGCTTGTAACGCCTCTCAGCAGATTAGATTATGTTGTTATGGAATGGAAATAGTAGAATTTTTCAATGTGACTAATGCTTAGCAATAGTATTTTATTTTGAAATGCTAGAATTTGTCATTTATGTTTTTGTAGTGTAAATGAATGCAGCAGATAGATCTTATTTGTAAAATACCTAAATAGAGAATTTTTTCGTAGGTATTAGGATATACCAAGTACGTGAAATGGGAAAAGATCAATAAAATGGACAGAATGGGCATAAAAGCTAGAAGAATACTGCAAAACATGAGTGCAGACTTAAGTTAGCTTTTAATTTTCAAATATCAGTGCAATGTTAAAAAAAAGAGAGAGGAAGTTATGCAGAGGGTCCAACAGGCACACAATTCACTTACACCCTTTGCAAGGGGAATGGGAGTATCTGCTTCACTTGAGTTATCTGCTACCTCAGTATTTTCATATGCAAACATATCCATCATTAAATCATGTTGTGTTAGTGTCTGTTTTATGTCAATGTATGAAAAAAATTCATCAAGGTAATATCACATTCTTTGAATTAAGATTAGGATATAATGAAATTTAAGAACAACCCTTCTTTTACTTGAAGGAAATATTCTCTCCATGAAATATGATGAAATGAGAAGAAAAATGATAAATTCTATGTTCTTTTCCTTTTCCGTGTATTAATGCACTGTACAAATTTGAAAAACTTGACTCAACAGGAAAAAGATGTAGCTGTGTCATCAGACTTTTTAAATCCACCTACACTTAAATTTGAACTTCTGAGCACAGCTGTGTATCTTCTTATCCAAACTGGATAAAACAGATAATAACTTATTTCAAGGAAATATTATCTGCTTCAGTCTGAAGAAGTGCTGTTAGTTTGTTATAACTTCTGTCAAGTAATTTGATTTTTAGTGTGACACTGAAATATTTATTGCCTCTTAGGGCTCCTTTTTATGCCTTTATTCTGCTGTTAGTTTTTTTTCTCTAGGAATCAAGACATTCTATGTTTTATCTCCAGAGATCATGTATACAGAGTGAATCTGTGTTAATATTTCCAAGTCACTGTTTAGTTGCTTGATTTTTGAGTTCCTAAGACCCCTAACTATGTCAGTAACTCAAGTTGACTTGTTATCCTCAGTCGTTGTTAAGCAGTTAACTTGTAATGGTAGAAACCAACTTTTATTTAGCACATGCCCATATGTTTGCCAGATAAACATTCTTTTCTGCAAGAGTAATGTTAGATTAACCATTCAGAAGGCACAGACAGAGAGATGGATTGTTAAGTTTGACTGGAGTATGCACTGGTGTCAGGAGTTTAGTTTCTGAACTCTCATGTAAACTAAAAAAAATATTTGGAGGCGACAAGGAAATGTTTGTGATCCATGCTTTACCAATGTATGAAAATTAATGTGGTTTGGTGTGTCTGAAAATCAAGTGATTTTGATTAGGAAAGATAATAAAACTGCAAGGCATTTGTAACTCTCCTATTTACCTTATGTAGTACTAGCCAACTGAAAATGACAATTTCTCTAATGACTTTTGTTGTTAATCAGTTTGCTGATCAGTTAAAAGATTTATAATATTACAAAGGATATTAAAGATAAAATAGGAATCCTGACTGCTTTGAAAAAGGAATTACTTTTTTGGTATTTTCCAGCCTTGGTATTGTCTATCCACTTCTGTCACTTCTGCAGTAGTGAAGCTTCTTCAGAGAACACATGCTCTTTCTCCCTTAGCTAGGCTTCACTTAGAAATAAACTGAAATTTATTCAAGCACAAAAATGTTTTTTCTGTGGGTCAAAAAAAGGTTTACTTGGGTTTTTTCATGACTTACTTTGTTCTCTGCTTATTTTACTTCTGATTTCTGGAATATCAAAGAGTGTTTTGCCACTCTAAGAACTTCAGTTGACTTTCAGAGCTCTTTTGTTTACAGCTTCTTAAGGGCTTTTTGAGTGCTTAGCTGCTGCATAATAGTTTGTATCTTCAGTATATGCCCATGTAATAGAACAGTGGCAGCATTGTTAAATACATCCTCTTTCATCTTAGAGTAGTACAGTGTTTACTTGCAAAGAAACCCCAATGTGAAGATATGTGCTTTTGGTATCTTGAAAACAATAAAAAAGTTAGGCATTGTCACTAATGCTGTAGTTGTCAAGACCTTTGCAGATTAAATCTGTAAACCTAAAGCCTGATACAGTGATGAGCTGTAAAAGCTAGTAATGTGGGAGCATTCTTTGAAGAACAAGAATATCTTCTACCTCACTGTCATTTGTAGTCAGTAGTCCAGGCAGCCTATTTGAGAAGCAAATGATTCCTGCTTTGGCTTAGTGCAGCTAAAAAATTTGGGTTTAAATATGATTCTGGTGTAGAAGAATAATAGAAACTTAAAATAATACAAGTTTTCACAAATGTTACCCAACAAAGGGATTTCTCTATTCTGAAATTCTTCAGTGGTGGTTCTTGATAACTCAAGCCAAAACGGAGAAGAGCGTAGTTAATGTTTTTGCCTCAGTGATGGAAAATACTTGGCCTATGTAACATTGCCTGTTTTGGAAACCATTTAAGATCATTATCCTTCCTGCCTCCATAACTGTTGATGCTTTTGTCCCTTTATGATTACTGCTGTCCTCCAGATTTTGCAATCCAGAGTTTTGAGTTTTGTCTCTGGATTCCTAAGCATCAGATTTAGTGCTTAATTGTTTTAATTATGTGAGAGTTTTGAAGGTGTTGTATTTTGATATACTAAGAATCTTCATGAAGTTGATAGTTTTTTTGTTCTTTTTACCACTTTCCCCACCTTCTGTTATGTTTAGAAAAGTGTAAACAAAAGCCTTCCCCCTTCAGTAAACTTCAGTTAGCCAGCGTAGTACACTAAACAAACAGAATGCCCAAGAGTAAGAATTGGTGAGATGCTCATGATTAAAAGGTAAAATTGAATAATGGTGACATAATTGTAATACGGTATTTATTAAATATTTCAGAAATAATGTCTCACAATGAACTTCTGACTTTTTGTGTGTTTGCTTATTTCATGTACTCTGGGACTCAGTATATGCTGCAAATTTAAAGCCCAAACATTTTCTTTTAAGTCCTCCTGCTGAATCATCTGCTGAATCAACTTTAGTTGCTGAACTTCAAGAGAAGCTTCAGGAAGAAAAAATGAAGTTCTTGGAGCAACTTGAAGAACAAGAGAAAAGAAAGAATGAAGAAATGCAGAACATCAGAACATCACTCACTGCAGAACAGCAGGTAAAGTTGATTCTTTTTTTTCATTACTTTTGCTCCCATGACAGTTATGTGTTCTTTTGCTGTTTTGAAGTTGGAGTAGGGTTTTCTCTTCAGCTGTGTAACACTTCGACATTCTGGAAGTTTGCACCAGGACATGATGCGTTAATGGAATCCAACACTTATACATTTAAAAAAACCCCAAAAAACCCAAAAACACCCCCCCAAAAAAACCCCCCAAAACCAAACAAAAACCCCAAACAATCCACAAACCCAAAATAAAAAACTGACAAAGAAACTGGGCTATCCAGATTCAATTTTTGTGGCTTCTTTTACTTGAAATTTTTATTCATTCATCTCTTTAGCTGCAGAAAGATACCAGTTACTACAAAATTTTGGACAACACTATATATTTGAAATGCTAATTGATTTGGAATGTTGCTTACTGGCTTTTAAACCTTGTTTGCCTGGACAGGTGGTGTTTTAGGTTTAAAGCTAACACTGTATTTTACATAATGAATTTAGAAACACTACGTACTCCACACCTTGATACAAAATCATGCTGCACTAGATTAATATTTTATATCTGTATCCACACATCTTCCTTTCAAAACGTCTTGAGTTCTTAAATTAAATCTCTGTTAGCAGCAGCTATTATCTACAGCTTTGTTGCATTTAAACACCGAGAGAGGATTTTCTGTTCTAAGCACCTCTACTTACTCTAGCTATGGTGGGATCAAATAAGGACAAAGAGACAGGGTAGCGATCAGCCAGCTTGGTGAATGCTATGAATCACTTGGTGCATAGAACACAAAATTGCAGACAGCTATAAAAAAAGGAATATTATTGAAATTCTTGGACTGCAAGCATTAATACTGAGGTGAGCCTTACATAGTAAATCTAACAGGATTTTTTTCCTACATAGGTGACTATTAGATTTATTTTTCATCACAATATTCTTTACTATTCCATTTTACTTATTTTCTAATACTATTCTTCATTTTTGCAGCAGAGCATGGAAGGGAAGGTTCTGAGGCATTCACAGCAAATTCTGAGGAAAGCTGAAACTTTTTATTAATAAACAAACCACCCCAACAAAACCAAGCAAACAAATACCTTAAACCCAGAAAAGTGGTGTGTCAGTCAGTGCTAACAGTTAACCACACTGGCTCTGCTGATTGTTGAATATTTTGAGTATTTAACCCCACCTTTGTCTTCTTTGTCGTTATTTGTTTCCTCTGTGAAATTTTCTTGAAGGTGTTACTTATGTTTGTAGTCTGATAGTTTTGTTATGCAGACATATGCCAAAGGCTGCTGTGCACTATGTAGAGTGTGTAGCCTGCCAAATATTTTCCATTTTAAGACTGAGAGTTGGTATGGATAGGTCAAGACAATCTTAAAATTCACAGAAAAAGTGAAATTAATTTAAAGTATCATTTTGATAGATGGTATTGGTAGTTTCTGTCTCTCTTCAACAGCACACTAAGAGTAAAAAGGATGAGGGTGTAATGGTCAGTAGAAAGATTGAATAAACAGAGTTGTTGGATTGAGACTGATGGCTATGCTGGCCTCTTTTTTTATATTCAGTTATTCAAGCTATTAACCAGGATTCCTGTATCTCTTTTGCATTAATTAATTGTTCCCTGAGCAATTAATGCATGACTTGAAATGTATTGTTTAGATCACAGTATATTAATATTTTTCTTTGTTATTGTATGTAACATATCCTGATTCATTTCAGCTTTGTCTTATTAATCTTTAAAGTAGCTGTTTTAAATACAAAACGTACAGCTATTTTACATTAACTGAAATACAAAGTATTATAATTAAAGAAGAAAACAACAACTTGCAAATTATTTTTTGTAATGATTTCTTTATTGTACTATTTGTGGGTACTGGACCTGGGGGAATGAGAGAGTTAAAAACAAAATAAATTTTAAAAAACTGTTACAGAGAAACATCAAAATGTTGCAGATGTATCTCTTCACCAAAGCAATAAGTAAACAAGTTTTGATTCCTTTTTTAATTAGAAATTAGAAAACTGAAATGCGTGCTGTCTTTTGTACTTTTTTGTTCCAGTGATGTATTTTGCATTATATTTATACAGTACATTTCTTATTTCAGTAATAATTCCTTTCTGTTTTCAGACCAACTTTAACACTGTTCTGGCAAGAGAGAAAATGAAAAAAGAAAATATAATTAATGATCTTAGTGACAAATTAAAAGTGCTTACACAACAGCAAGAAAAAGATAAGGGTAAGCAAAGTTCTTCAGAACTATTTGTCTTCTCTAATAGGACTATTCTATTTGCTGCAGGTTGGTTTTGATCCTTAGTGCTTGCTGTTATTAAAAGCATTTCTGCTTATTTGTGTCATAGATTTGATTGAAACACTTTCTGAAGACCGAGCTCGCTTGCTTGAAGAGAAGAAGAAGCTTGAAGAAGAAGTTAATAAACTGAGAAGTAGTAATTTTTCTCCATCAACCTACTCGGCAGCAGCGTCAGAAGTTTGTGGAGCCTGTGCAGCTGATGTTCCCACTGACACAGACAGATTGGTTTCTGACTTTGGGGCTGAAGGGAGAATGGACTCCACAATGGAAACCAGTATGATGGCTGTGCAGTAAGTAAGGGGCATTATAGTAGAAATATACAAAGCCCGCGCCCGTTCTAGAAGCGTACGCTGTTGGGTGTTGTGGAGTACAAATGGGCATGTTTAACGCTCTTTCCACCTTTGATATGCTTCCTAAAATTATTCTTTTAAATGTACATGAACATACAATTGTGGTGTCACAATCATCAGAAATGTGTGAGTTTGATGACTTATAAGTATACAACTTAAAGCTGAAACTTGACCTCACAGTCATGAGATGAAAAAATAGATCTAAGTATACCAAATGTAAGTTAAACAGAAGAAGAACTGTGATAGTGAATGAGTTGGGTGGCTACATGTTATGGACATACCTTTTGAACAGTGTCTCACTTTCATGCCTCTAGCTTTCTGAACAATCCCAGACTTCTCCATACCTTTTATAGAAGCAATGAACCTGACTGGGAAAGACACAAGGTTTTTGCCAGAGGAACAAAAGCAGAGTTGTCAGATACACTTCCATTCACTTAATCAATGTCCATCACGACGTATGCCCTAACCTAGAATTGCATACCCAGAGAACTAAATGTTTCTTACAGTAATCATTCCAGTCTTGAACTCTCAAAACAGATTTACAAAAAAGAATAATTCTAAAGATAAGCTTGTGAACAAAAAAAATTATGACTCAGTGTATTAAAAGTCAGGTAATATACAGAAATTATTACAGGTTTATGTTGACTACTTCCTATTACATGAGAGCTAAACAACCTTTTAGCTGAAATGAGGTAATGATTAGCATGGCTTAATTATAATTTACTCCAAGTTCTACTTGGCAGTTTGCTTGACATATTTCATCCCAAAACTTGTCCATTTTCTTTTCCCGAGCAAATCAGTTTGGACTATAAAATGCATTACTTCTTCCCTATTAAACTGCTTTTAAAATACCTTTTAATTGTTTTAGGAATTGCTCTCTATATTAAGAAATTTCTTATTGCGATGTGAGTATTGTCTTATCATGACCCAGTGTTCAATGAGACAGATAAATGGAAACAATTAGCAAGTTCACATTAGTGTCTCTAGGAAAGGGTCCCAGGGCACTCTAAACTACTCTCCAATAGCCTTTAAACTACAGACTAGGAAAATATGACATCACAGAGCTGAACTGCACTATCAGGAGTTAACTGTCAAAGCATTTGGAGCTGTATCTTTCATCCTGGTGGCTTGAAGATATTGTGAAATACCAAGAAATGTCCCTATCTAACTTGATAGACTGATCAGTGACTGAAAGTTCACTGGCTTGTTGCAACAAAGAAGCTCCTTGGTTTAAAGAAAAGAAAAAAAATCCCCAAAAACATGCCAGAGATGTCAATGCTGATTCTTAAGGTATCTTTCTGGGCTGTTCCATCTGTGCTAGCAAATATTATAGCACGCTTCACTGAGTGAAGATGGTGGGGAGGGTGTGGAAAAGATATTTTTGATCGTGAAAAAAAATTTCATTTTTAACCTATCGATTTTCTTTCTCTTTTAGTGAAAATGTCCATATGTCTGAAGAAAAGCAGAGGATAATGTTGTTAGAAAGAGTGAGTAGATTGTTTGGGAGGTGAAGTGTTACAACTAATTACTTATAAATATGTGCGTGTGAAGTTGTGCTGTCACCAGTTATATGCTCTGATGCAAGACACTGTCTGCAAGGATTATAAATATAATTTCAGGGCATGTTTTTTCACTGTACTCTTTTTGGATCAGTATAATTCACTGAAGTAATTCAAGATAAGTATTAGTACATTATTCTTGTCCTAGCTTTGTTTTATTCTGTTTATGTAGGCTTCAGTGTGAATGACTCAGATGTAATATTTTTTCTTAGAAGTGACAGGTGACATTGATCCAGAGAATTTCTGCAGTAAAAAAAAAAGTTGTGATTACTTTTTCAAATTAAGACATACAAAGCAGCTGGACAGGAATTAGAATTGATTTTCTGCTTTCTCATGGAAATGAATAATTTCTCTTAGGCTGTATTCTGGGGAAAAGATGAGATTAACCCCTAGTCGTTACACTACAATATTTCAGATTCGAGGAAATTTAACTGTCCAGTCATGTCTAACTCCATCTCAGTTGCCATTTTAAAGTTGACTATAAAAAACCAAAACAGCAATATCCTTAACTTTCAGCTTTCTAGGATCATTTGGACTAAAATCTCTGACCTGACAGAGAAAACTAGTGTTTTCTGTTGATGCACTGTGGGACTCTATGATGCAAGTGCCTGGATGTTACTGGCAGAAGTGCTTACCTGCTTTATTCTGTCATCTGATTATAAAGGATTTGTCATGGGTAGAAGCTTTAATGTAGTAATATATTACATTTCTTCTGCTGTTCTATCAGTGACTTGTTTTTCCAACTAAAAGGAAAATATGAGTGTGGAGGTAAATACAGCTTAGTAGTGGGTTTTGTAGCACTGGGATAATTGGTAGACTTCAATTTTTTTTTTTACATGTCTTTATTCAAAATATATTTTGATAATTGTTTTAGAATTGAAAGCTGTAGTATCGTATAAGTAGTCAGGCTCTAGTCATATCAAAACTTTTTTAAAGTGTTTGTACTGTATAAAGTGTACTAGTTAGCTCATCAGATGAGATTTTCTTTCAGACTTTGCAGTTGAAAGAAGAGGAAAATAAGAGATTAAATCAAAGATTGGTAAGTATTTGTGCAAGGCATGTTTTAAGTCTCGTGAAAAAATGAAAGCTAAAAATTATTGTCTAAAATCTAAAAATGTGTATTTATTAATTTCAAAAATGTTTTCAGTGTTAAGGCAAGAGGTAAGTAACCTGATAACCTTTCAAAAGTACCTCATCTTAGCAGTCTTCTCATGGAAAAGATTCACAGGATGGGAATTATCAGGACTGGAGAGAAACAGAGTTTTTCCAGAAAAAACATAGAACATTCAGGCTTGGGGTACAGGGAGTTAATTTCCATGGCTCAGTTTTTCAGCAACAGTAGATTGACAGCCAGTTTACAAGAATTATATTAAGCCTAATTAAGAGTGTTAACAATAACATAGAGATGGTTTTGGGAAAACTGCACCTGTCGCTTTTGTAAGGTGTGAAACTTTTAATTCTACATATTTTCTCACTGGAAATGCAAACAGCCATTGTCTTAAATGCTTAAGTAATAGTAAATGCCTATGGCAGGAAAAAGAATATGGTGACAAAGCACCCTTGATTCCTGGGCTATGAATCCTTCTTTTATTTATCCTTGCTAGCAGGTCTCAACTTTAAGTCTTTAAGAAATTACTGTGTGTGGGAAACAAGACACATGGTTTGGTTGGACTGGCCATGATGATCTCACCTTCTTTAAGTGGCAGGTGATATGTAGAAGTGTGGTAGAAACTGATATCTGTGTAGTTGGAAGTTACATTTCATAGCAGAAGTGTTTGATAAGCTTCTCCAGTAGAAGTTAGCATATTCTGTGAAAAATGTCGAGTTTTAAGAGACCCACAAGGATCATTGAATCCAGCTCTTGTCCCTGCACAGGACCATGTGCCCAAGAGTATCATTGGGCAATGCTTCTTGAAATCTGTCAGGCTTGATGCTGTGACCACTTCCCTAGGCAGCCTGTTCTAGCACCCAACCACCTTCTGGTTGAATAACCTTTTTCTAATATCCAATGTAAACTTCCCCTGACGCTTCAGGCCATTCCCTCTGTTTCTGTCACTGGTCACCACAGAGAAGAGATCAGTGCCTGCCCCTCCTCTTCCTCTCACAAGGGGGTTGTAGACTGCAATGAGGTCTCCCCTCAGTCTCCTCTTCTCCAGGTTGAACAGACCAAGTGACCTCAGCTGCTCCTCATATGGCTTCCTCTCAAGGCCCTTCACCATCTTCATTGCCCTGCTTTGGACACTCTCTGACAGCTTAATGTCCTTCTTATATTGCGATGCCCAAAACTGCACACAGTATTCAAGGTGAGGCTGCACCAATGCAAACCAGAGTGGGGCAATTACTTCCCTCGACTGGCTGGCAGTGCTGTTCCTGATGCCCCCCAAGGACATGGTTGGCCCTCCTGACTGCTGGGACTCTGCTGACTCATATTCAACTTGCCATCAACCAGGAACCCCAGGTCCCTTTCCACAGTGCTGCTTTCCAGCATCTCATTCCCCAGTCTGTACATACATCCAAGGTTGCCCTATCCCAGGTGCAGAATCTGGGACTTCCCTTTGTTGAATGTCATATGGTTGGTGATTCCGCAGTCCTCTGATTTGTTGAGCTCTTTCTGCAGGGCCTACCTGCCTTTGAAGGAGTCAACAGCTCATCCCAGTTTTGTGTCATCTGTAAATTTGCTTAGTATCCCTTCCAGTCATTTATGAAGATGTCAAAGAGCCAGGGCCTAAGATGGAGCCCTGTGGAACCCCACTAGTGACAGGTCACCAGTCTGATGTTACCCCATTCACTGTCACCCTCTGTGCTTGACCCATGAGCCATATGCTCACCCACCACCATGATGTGTTTTTCCATGTGTGCTGGACCAAATGTCCAGAAGAGTACTGTGAGAGGCAATATTGAGAACCTTACTGAAATTCAAGAAGATTACATCAACTGGCTTCCCTTGGTCAGCTGGGTAGCTTACCTTGTCATAAAAAGAAATCAGGCTTGATAAGTAGGACTTTCCTCTCATGAAGCCATGCTGGCTGTCACCAATGACTGCATTGTCTTTCAGGTGTTTTTCAGTACTTCCCAGAATAATCTTTTCCATAACTTCACCAGGCACTGAAGTGAGACTGACAGGCCTCTAGTTTCCTGGGTCCTCCTTCTTGCCCTCCTTGAAAATCGGGACAATGTTCACCAGCTTCCAGTCAACTGGGACCTCTCCAGAATCCCAAGACTGCTCAAAAATCTTTGAGAGAGGTTGTGCGGTGACATCAGCAGCTTTTCGAGGATTCTGGAATGAATGCCATCAGGCCTCATAGATTTGTAGGGATCCAGCTGGAGCAGCAGATTCTGCACAATTTCAGGGTTCACTGAGAGTTGATCGTTCTCACAGGGCACTGAGACCCCTTGGTCTGTCATCTGTGTTGAAGACAGAGGCAAAGAGTGTTAAACACCTCTGCCTTGTCTCTCTCCCTGTTTATGAGTTGACCACCCCCATCCTGTAACTGGCCAATTATATTTCAATACTGCCTGTTGCCTTTAGTGTATTTGAAAAGCTCTTAATTGTTCCCTGTATTTCTGTCCAGCTTCAACTCCAGCTGAGCTTTGGCCACACAAATTTTCTCCCTATGGCAGCAAGCAGCATCTCTGAATTCTTCTTTTGTCATTTGACCTTGCTTCCACTGGGCATACACCTTCCTTTTTTGCCTTATTTCCAAGAGAAGATCCCTACTCAACCAAGCTGGCCTTCTGCCTCGCCTGCTTGACTTCCACCATTTGGGAATTGCATGCTCCTGTGCCCTTAAGAGGTGATGTTTGAAAAGTGACCAGCACTGATGGACCTCGGCACCTGAAAAAACATTTTCCAGGGGGACCTTACTTACTAATTCCCTGAGCTGCCTGAAGTCTGCTCTCCTCATGTCCAGAGTTGAGGTTTTCCTGGCACTTTTTCTCCTGTCAACAGAGATTTTAAACTTGATTGCTTTGTGGTTGCTGTGGCCAAGATGATCCCTAAAAAATTCAAATTTTATTTTTAACTGGGCATAGGAAATTAATACTTTTTCAATTCTTTACTTATAATCTGTTTTTTTAATAGATAAATTTATTTTTATTTTTGTTTTTATCCTTTTTCCCTCTCTTTCCCAATGCATTTATAAAACTGAAATATACATCAACACTTAAATATTAATGTTTATTTCTATTAAGCTTCTTCAGATATGCAACTTAGAAGGAGATCTGCACAATAAAGAAAATCTTTGAGGGTCACTATCTTTTGCAGAAGAACTTGTGGGTTACCTCTGCAGGGAATAAAAAATAAAAAGGACCTTATTTTAGTACTAGGAGTGTTATTACAGGATTTTTTAGTTTTATATGAATTACTGAGAAATTTCTGTGTAAAGTCCATAAGAACTGTATTCATAAAAACATTCTTTACTAAGTTTTAATGGAATTATTCTCAATATTCTCATTTTTTCTGTTTCCCTTAAAATTAGAAATTAAGGAAAAATATAGAAATCGGGCTAGTTTGCATTTTAATTTAACACTTATTCTAGTTTTTAAAATAGCAAGAAAATCTCTGATCTTAGTATCTGAAAAGAACTCTCAGACACTTTTGTGAACAATCAAGGCAAATTTGACAATGTTCATGCTAGCTGCAACTTTTTCAAGAAAGAGAAGTACAATGTGAATAAGACAAATGTAGCCTCTAACAAAAAAAAAAACCTCTGAAGTTGGATCCTCTAAAGAAAACTGCTGAAAGCATCATCAAAATTTGAGAGCTTTTTGTATTGTACTGCATTCAATTTGGACTTATTCTTTGAAGAAATGTAGAAACTGAATTGTGAAAAGGCTTCAAGCTCATGTGAAGACAGGCTGGTGCTGCCTCTGGGGAAGGCAGAGGGCAAGATTGACAATAGGAAATATGGTGTAGGGAGCAATATTTGAGTTACAGCTGAAAAATCATGTGCTAAACTTCAAGTATGAGCAATCTAGATCTGAATAGCTTGTATAAATAATCCAGGAAGTAGGAATGAATGGAAAATCTGCAGGACCTCTAGTCAGAGTTTCTCTGGAGCAATTATAAATTGTCTTTTGTAAGGAAGTTTCCAGAGGGTAATGAAACGGATACATTTATGTCAGATCAACTTCTCTAGCTACTTGCCTGCATGTGGGCCAGGTATTCCTTCGTAGATAAAAAGTAGTGTTACCCACTTTCATTTCTCATTATTGTAGTTACTGTAGAAAGTTTGTGTGCAGTTATATTTACTTTTAGGTCTAGTTTGTCCTATTGAAGTTAGTCCATGTGCCATTAATTTAAATTAATTTAAATATAGGATAATTCTAATGTTCAAACCCTCATATAACTGAGCCTTTGTTTGGTCTTAGTTGATTTGACTCCAGTTTTATTCCAGGGAGTGCTGATCTGTCTTATTACAATAAACTTCAGATTTTGTGACAGTTCTTAGAAAAATTGAGAAAACATATTGAGTTCAATATCTAGAGTTTAATTGTAACAAATATCTTTAACCTTCAGTGTTCTACCATCAGCCTTTTCTAGTGCCAGCGGCTTCTGTGTTACATGCACAGCTGTATCATAGATCTTGTGTATGCTCAGAGTAAATCTTCACTGTCACTGATCTGGAAAGCCCTTCTTAGTTTTAAATAATGAGGGAGAAGTCAGTTTTGCAAGAAATTTCATAATCAAATGTAGGTCTTAAAAAAAAAGGTGCAATAATGAAACCCTAAAACAAATCACAAACAACCAAACCCACTGCAGAATGGGATGACAAAAGTATGCTGTTTTTTGAATGAATATAAAATCTGCAAGACTAGACACTGTTTGAAATCAAAAATTATCTTACCATATTCTTACCTGTAATGTACATTTCATCATAGCTTGTCAATACTTTATAGCTTTTCTCTTTTTTTATAGATGTCCCAAAGCATGTCATCAGTATCCTCAAGACATTCTGAAAAAATAGCAATTAGAGAGTAAGTACATGTTAATTTTCTTATCAACAGATGGACATACATTCAATAAAATAAGCGTATAGTCAAAGAATATCACAATTCTTCTGTTCTTGCTCTGTGGTGAAAAGATATATAGATCTTCTCTATATTTCAGCCATCAGCTATTGAAACATCCCAGTTGAGCGTAAATCAAATTTTAGAAAACGAATTTGTAAACAAAAAACCAGCCTTTCTGAATTCTGTATGTCACTGACTTTCTTGAATTCTGTAGCTTTCTGTACATGGGTCATATCAATAATACTTCATGGGATTTCTAGAATCCTCCCTGAGTTTTCCTTTAGATTACTCGTTGTTTATCTGTAACCTTGAAGTCATGCTAAGAGAAAGTAGAAAGAAATCTGTTCACCTTTGAATATGCATAGTGCTGTATTATATTACGAGAGGAGTTTTACCTTCCCGAAGTCTTCAAAACTCTTGGCTTATCCTGACAGAATGAAATTAAATCAACTCAAACATTTTGTTAGGTATTGTCAATCTGTTAGCAGCTGCATGTAGAATTGTTGCTGGAAAAAGAAATATTCTTGCAAAATATGAAAGCTCCAGACAACTTCTTATTATCGGACTTATAAATTACTTGAGTAATATAAGAAATCCTTTTGGTAAGAAAACGAGCACAGATTATTCCATTGACGTTTTCTGAATTGCACCAGTTTGCATTTTTATTGTAACAAGGTCAGTGTGTGAAGGGTCAGTTTTTCCCTTGAGAATCTGGATATTCCGGCAACTCTCTTGGTAGTCGTCTGGGAGGAAACATGGTGAAAGAAGTTGTCTTTCCAATAGAGATGTCTTTAAGTCAATATAGCCAGTCTTCATAATAAGTCCAGACAGAAAAGCCTGGAATACTGTTTATGTAATCAAAAAGTGAACTTTTAAGAAGATGAGATAAATTTTCTAGATTTACTGATTTGTCTCTGACTATGTATCTGTAGTCTCCTTTGATGAAGAAGAGTTTTCTGCTTTCTTTGCCGCTTCCTCCCCCATCCCCAGAGGACTAATAATATATATTCTTAGAGCCCCCCTCGTGATCTAATGGCTTATTTGTAGCTATTTTAGAATTCATTTCATTAATGACTAAATAATTTACTTGCAACACATTTGCACTGGGGAAAGGAAGTTTGGAGACAAAAAAAGTTCTTTGAATTATTTTACTGAAACTTGGCATGAGAACTTGATGGCTTCTTATGTTACCTTAGTGTCAGGAAGAAGCAGATTTTTAAAACTTTTTATGTAAAGTCACCACAGTGTTTATTTTGCTTTTAATCCTTTGATTAAAGATGGGCACTTCATCGCTTCTTTGTCTTGTGTGCTTAAGATTTTAGGATTGAAAGGTACATAAATATTTTGCTGTATTTTTCTATGTTCTAATTAGCTTCATTTTAAAACATCAAAAGAATGTTTGTAAACACTGCTATAGCGATGGTTACCTTAATTTTGGGTGAATAGAAATAATGCAAAATTAAAACTTTATTTTTTTATTAGGCATTTCTGATTATTTTTCTTAAAGCAAAACTGACAGTTCTTTTGAAGAAAAATAATGTGAGCTGATTGATGTAGTACATTTCAAAAACGCTTTTCAAAAGGTAGCCTGGTTTTGTTGACTTGAAAATGTAGAATGTATATATGTTGGTGTAGCAAGTAGAAACATCTGTTCTGCTCTTCAACTAAGTCTCAGTCTGTGCAGTACATGGGGAAAAAATGTAGCGTAATTAATGTAGTTTTAAGCTTCTATGCTTTTTCTTATTTAAGTTCTGTGATTTTATTTTTTTTCCCCAGTTTTCAGGTTGGCGACTTGGTTCTCATTATCTTGGACGAAAGGCATGACAACTACGTGTTGTTCACTGTTAGTCCAACCTTGTATTTCTTGCACTCAGAGTCCCTTGCTGCACTGGATCTCAAACCAGGTGAGTGTGGTAAGTGTCAGATTTCTTCTAATTACTAACTCCTCCTACAAATAACACTCTTCACTTTCTAACACTTAGTAAGTGATTTTATAAATATATATGTGATAAATACGAGAAGCGTGTAATACAGGTAGTTGTCAGCTATCTTTGTAGCTTTTGGTATTTGTTCTAATGCGAAATATTTTTCAGGACAGAACATTTTTAATCAAAAATTTATATAAATGTTAATATCTTGGAAAAATAGGGAAAAGTATCTGCATCTTCAAAGAAGCTGTAAAAAAAAAAGGGGGGGGAGAAAATGCCATTTTTGTACACACAGAGAGTATGTTAACATTCCCATCAGGTTACTTCAACTATTTAGTAGCATGAATAATAAATAACAAAATATAGACAACAGTATATGGGGATTTGCAAGCAATATTTTTGCTGGTTGTTTTTCCACCAAATTCAAATGGTATTTAGCAAGGCTAGTAAGTTTTCATAGAACACTTTCTGTATGGTTTTTTTTTATATTGATGGCACATTTGCTTTTTTTCTCCCTTAATCTTCAAGGGGTTTTTTTGGCTGGTTTTGGCAACTGTGTAAACATAGCTAAATCGAAATCTTTTTAAATGAGCTACATGAAATAGATTCATGTAAATGTCTTTAATCTGTCATGTGTAGTATTTTTTGCAAACCCACCTGTGCTCCCAACTTTTTGGAAATGTCTAAGAATATGCATTAAAAGAAAATTTAGTATTCATTCTAAAGTGAAAGTTTCTACATGTTATTGCATGTCACAAGCTGTCAAATTATTTTCAATGAGCAGACTCACAATAGATTTCAGTTATGATGAAAGATGATAGATCTTAAATAACTGTGTAGTCTCCAGAAGACCACCAGTCCCTATCTGAATTCTGAGTCTGCTGAAGGATGTGTGCCATGTGTCATCTGTGAAGCATAAGGGGAGAATACCTGTCTTAGTTACAGATATAATATGTTCTGAACTATGGCATTAGTAGTGCATACATAGCTATGTGAAATATGGTAGATTTTCATACTGTTGGTTTACGTATATAATGTAAAAGCTGTTGCCGTGGGATTTAGGTGCTGAAAAATCTCCCGGAGCAGTTAATTAGGGGTGAGATAAGAAACGGTTTATTTTGCCAAGGCTAAGATGTTACAAGACATCTGTACCTGTGCCCGAGAGGTTACATTTTATAATACCATCCATCCAATCCCAGATGTGTCCACCCTGTGGTCTTTACTCTGGACCGCCCCGGGTCCACCCCCTGAAAATGGGTCTGGGGTATATTTCAGGACCACCTACTTCATCACCTTCACCATCATCACAGCACAAAGGGTACATAGTTACCTAATTCTTGACCATGTGCTGTTGTTCAGGCCCTGATATGCTGTTCTGCCAACAATCTAGGCCTTGCCTTGACAAAAGACTAAACATTTCTACTGGATTCGGGGCTATGAGTGATATAGGGAGCATAGAATGGGGTAAGAGGGTTAAGGAATGCGTAAACAAGGGTGCTACAGGGAAAGGGAAAAGGGAGGGAGTGAGTGAGGGATGCTGCTTTTAGAATCTACTTCCACTACTTATAAAACTTACAAGTATTAGAAAAATAAAAACCATTAGGGGCTTAAGGCATAAAAGCCGTGTCAGTTGGTATGTTACTGTGAGTACATAATTCACTGTCCTGTTTTCAAATGGACTTGGCTTGCTCCATTCCTTACCACTTGCTAACTAATTAGTCTCAGATTTGAAGAAACCCCACATAAAAAAACCAGTGAAGACTTACCTTTTGCTTGAGGAACACATTTGTCTCTGTCTCGGTGCTTCAGGAAACCGTGTCTTCTTGATTCTATTCCTCCATCAGGGAAGTGGAAAAAATGAAGTCCAGAACACCAGTTGTATTTGTGATAGGTTAAAATTGATATGGATCTAAGTGTAATGCAAATTATTGTTTTAAGGGCTGCCAAAATGTTGCATCTAAACCTGACCTTTTGTATTAACAGGCATATCAAATTGTTAATTCCATATAGATCTACCTAAACTATTAAGTGTCAGGGATCTAGGCTATCATAGGATGTCTCTACTTACATTAGGATGGCTTAAAATGTTATGACAACACTGAAATTGGTTAAGGAAGGACCTCATGGTTTCAGTGTTGTCCCTTTGGGATATGGAAATTTCCGTCTGCAGATGTAGGGGAAAAAACCCCTGCGTCTCTCACTATCTCTGTTAGATCAATTAAGCCTGTCAGCCCAGCAAATTCTAATTTTTTGTAATTTAAATATTAGCTGTTGAGCATTCAGATCATGTGTGAGTTCTTTGCACTGATTGTAGGAGTGTGGAGTAGAAAAGAATCTACTCCACTACTAATTGCCACTTTAACCTTAAAGGCTAATAAAATTTCAAAGTGTGGTTCTTGAGTGAGTCATGTTCTAGTCACTACATACAGTATCTCATAAATAGTCACCCTTAGAAAAGCGTTAATTTTATTATTATGTACAGGGTATTTGATATTTTTCCTTCTATTTATTTTGATATTTTATTTATGCTGTGGTTAGTGATAGTTAGAAAAGAGCAAAGCTAGTAAAATGGGTGTAATTTCTTGGAATCCAAGACACATAGTTTTACTTACAGTTAAAGAAATAGATATAAGCTGAAAGTTTATTTATGCCCACTGTTGCTCTTTTAATCTGTCACTTTATTATTGAGGTTTTTCACTCTTCTCCTTTCTAAACAGTATCAGGTACTCTCAGAAGACTGCAACCAAAACAGACAGACTTGTAGGGCTTTGAAACTATTATTTATGAGTAACTAATTTCCATCACTAATATAGAAAAATAATCAAATGTTTCAGTAAAAGCAATAATAATAGCTGAGTATATAAGAATTTGTCGTTTGAAATATTTCAAGAAATTTCTGCCTTCAGTCAGACCAAAAGGTCAGACTTGGTTAGTGAGAATAATTTTGATTCATTAGTGAGTTTCAGTTTTGATTTGCTATTGTCTTTAATATTAGTTTTTAAAACAAAATTTGAACTGAAAAATCAAGTTTTCATTTGAAAATACCAGTAAACTGTCTTGATATCTGAACTTAATGTTTGTTCATTTATTAAAAAAATTTAATTAAGAATTTCTGCTTTTAATGAAAATGGAATGTAATATCCTGTTACCTGTAGTTGCTTATCTAAAGTAATAAATATATTTTCTCTTTAGCATCAGGTGCATCTCGGAGACCTTGGGTGCTAGGAAAAGTGATGGAAAAGGAATATTGCCAGGCAAAAAAGGTAAGGAAATAGTAATGGAAAATCATATGCAATTAATAGAGAAGAAAATCAATTTAAATATTTGTAACAATTGTGACAAGTACTTTCTGCATAACAAGTTAGATGAAAATTGCCCTAAGTTCTGCTATTCCTGTTCTTCTTCTACGTCAGTGAACAGCAAGAGAAGGGGAATTAGAAAAGGGTTCAGTGAACAGTGGATTAGGTATTTGCATTCACACTGCCCAAACCTTGCCAGAATCATAAGGGTCTAGTAAACGCTGAGAGGTGGGAATCAGTTTCTGCTTATAAATATGAAAATCAGGGGAATAATCCCACATGGGTTTCTAATTTGTTGTTTTGTTTTTTTTTTCTTGTAGGCACAAAACAGATTTAAAGTTCCTTTGGGTACAAAATTCTACAGAGTGAAAGCAGTACCATGGAACAAAAAAGTATAACACAACAAAATTTTGGTTTCTTCTGTCTCCGTTCTTTTTTTGACTTGTCCTTCAGTGCTCATTCATCGCTTCAAATACCAGGCCATCTTTTTATACTGAGGTCATGAGACAAGATACGTCATTGATGTACTGCTCTTACTTTTTAACAGGTGACATTTTAGAAACAAGAAATTCATCAAAAACTCTGGCCCTAACTGCTTTGATTTTTCTTTTTTTTTTTTTACCCAGATAACTTTAAGAGTGTGGACCAAATGAGTTCATTTTCTCGAAGGGCAACCACCTGAAACATGGTTTGTTAGCCATGTTAATTGCCTGTTAAATATACATTAGCTTGTATTTAGATGTTAAATGTTAGTTACCATTATTACCAGCATATGTCCTTTTGTGAAATCATTATCAAAGTACTTGCACTCTTTAACAGATTCTTTATATGTGTAAAATTCATCAACTATTTAAAGAGGAGTGTTCATTGCATGCAGATAATCATATAATTTTTCTTCAACATGAGTTTGCCTCAGTAGATGAATAAAAATAACTACTGCAGCTTGTTTCATTACATGAAAATGCTCTTTAATGTTAAAAAAACCCTTGTAATTTGATAGACTGATTTTGAAAATCAGTCACAGTTAGATCTGCAATCTTCAAAAGCACTTTCAATGGATTGATCACACAGATTCTGAAGGGAAGACACCTGTGCCGTTTGTTGAAAGTGAAGCACTTGTTCTTCTCAACAAAACAGAAATCTTGTATTAATCTATTTAGAAAAATCATATTGATGAAATTGTATTTCATGGTTGAGTTTCAGGAAAAAACTCATTGTACATTAACCATACAAGAGTCATTTAAGTAACAAATTATTGTAATTGTAAAAGACATGTAGAATTTTAAAACAATAAAGATTTGAAACCGTATGTGTTTGAAGTATTTGTGTGCCTTTAAATATTAGCTCTAATATTTATTTCATGTTAATCTGTTGCAGCTTCTCTGTGATTTCTCCAGCAGTTTCATTACATAGAGATACCCAAATTTTCTACGAGAGGTAGTAATTTTCAACAACATTTGGGAATTGCAAGAATTACCTTGTAATGATAAAAAAGAATTTAAGTAGACAGAAATTTTAATTTTGTCAGCATATTAAATGAATAAAGGACATTTTAAAAATAGTTTTACCAGATACCTTTTTTAAATGTCTTATTTATTTTTAATAACAGCATAAAAGGATGTACTATAAATGTGTAGTCAATGGAAAGTGAAATTATGGGCTCAACTATGAGCTGATGCCTAGGACTTAATTCACAGAGTTAATCAACTTTTGATTTATCTTCAAAAGGTGTGGGGTGGAAGAAAAGAGATAAACGAGAGAAAAGAGATAAATATCTGCTTCTGCCCATATGTTGCATATAATATTTCTTCAGACTAACCAGTCCACTTGAATACCCAGAAACTTCTGTATATGCTTTATTTAAAATTTTGTTCCATAACAATTTTAAGTTCAGATTTTTATGAAATGCATGGGCTTGTAACTGAATCATATCTTTGATTAAATAAATCTGAGACATTTGATCTCTGGAGAAGAGAATGTCATTTCATCAAGTAGCGTTCTTCTCTGATTGTTAAATGTACTAATTTATGTACTGACTTCTTAAAATTAGTTCTCAGAAATGCACCTTATTCTTCAAGAAATAGTTTTACCATAGTTGAGTACTGCCCAGTGTCAAATACATAAATATCATAGATCTACAGGACAAGTTTAAAGCATAAAAAAAACCCCAACCACCAAATGAAACCAACAACCCATGTTGCAATGGGTTTTTTAATCACTGAATTTTTTACCTAAATGGGAATTCAGTTCTGTCTGCAACTGGTGTAGTCTTGTTCCTATAGTCAACTGAGTCACAAGTGGTTTAAGAAGTTGTACACACACTTGTTCCTTTTAATATGCCAAGTGTTTAGAAGCCTCTATCTTTTAACCTGTTGTTAAAACTTTCCCAGCCTCATAATCTCTACTGCTGTGAATATTATTTGTTCTTCAGTGATTAATTGTCTCCTGGAAGCCATCAGGCTTTGCTAAGAGGCACAGAATCCTTCCATTTCTGGGAGGACAGTTATTCCTTGTGTAGCAGCAATGGATCTGTGCAACAGTGGGTAACCTGGCACTATAATGTAAGACCCCACTCTTTTGTTATTGAATAGTCTACTTCAAAGATAAGTGAAACGACCTGTAGAATTTTCTTCATGGAGGAAAGGATGTGCTGTTTGTCAGGTTCTTCCAAGTTGGATAAAACTGCTAATTTGATGATGGTCCTACATGACAGAGTACCTACACACTGCAGTTTCTTTAGGGCATACAAAAATAAATGTTTTTCTGATAATCTAATGTCATTAAGCACTAAGACCTGTGTGTGTGTCTTGCTGCTCTGTGTTGATGACATACCGTCAAGTTCATTTGTTGCAGGCTCTGGAGATGGTGACCTGAGTGCCAAAGAGAGGTGAGTACAGAACTCCATGCTGAGAATTAAAGTCAGAAATTCTTTTGTCTTTGTTTAAAAAATCTAAACTTTCTAGTCTGTTTATTGTTACTAGGTTAAAAAAATATATATTTAAGCTTATGGACAGTAGCAGTGATAATTTGTGGTGCTATGAAAATGAGCTTGATTTCTAGTTTAAGATAGACAAAGACGTGACTGACATTTATATAACTCAGAAACACATGAACAATATATGAAAGTGAACTTGTGAAGCACCTAAATAAATTGATTAAAATAAAGTGCTGTAATGCAAACTATGGGGGAAGAAAAAGTCCTTCCCTGCTGATATCTGCCACTTAAAAGAACACCAGGATGTATCTGTTATTGTTACATGACATCATATTTTTAAAATATAAATAAACAGCAATGGCTTTGGTTTTTCAGAGTATTTGTCATGTGTTTCATTTTATAATCTTTATGTATATTCAAAATGGAAATTCTGTCAAACAAACTCCTAACATATTCAGTAATGATTCTGAACAGTCATTGAGAAAAATGTAGTTTACATATTTTTTGTATGTCACGGCCTTACTAGTTCTTGAAACTATGTTTGTTATGCACCACCTATGTAGTTCATCTTGCTCCATAATAAAACTTTGTGTATAGCTATATGATTTGGATGAGGGCCATGTTCAGAAGGGGTAGGGCAGAAGCTGGGGGGTAAGTTTTTGATGATCTCAGATTTCCCTAATTCTTTTGTGGAGCTGCATGTTGGAAATTTAGCCATTACTAAAAAAACCTCTTGTGCTCCTGCTAATACATGTTTAGTCCATAAGGTTGGCTTTAGACAAAGGCAGCTAATTTTTTTAATTGCTAAAAGGAAAGTGAATGGTAGAGAAAGTTGATAGAAAGCAAATGTTGTCCTGCAGATTCAACACAAAAAGGATGTGATAATTTAAAAGGAATTTTTTGCAATGTTCTTGGAAGGCTGTATCCATTTGAATATTCTGAGAAGCATATCAGTTTTTACACTGGTCTGCAGTAGGTCTCGGGTCAGGAACTTTTGCTGTGTAGAATTTAGTTTTGTTTCATTTGAGTCTTAAGGTGGTCTATGAGTAGGACCAGTTTACACTGAAGTATACCCTTTTCTCTAAATATACTTGTTGTTACACATGTTGCATAGTAGGACTGGGAAGTCTGCCCTCTGCAAAATTATTATGTGCCTTTTTGCAGTGCTAGTTTTCTTTGTGATCTAATATTGCATCCTTTCTTGTTTTATGGAGTTTTATTTAGAAGCCAGATTGGCTGTAAGCAGTTATGGCAAAAATTGATTAGTACTTTGTAGTGATTTTTCATTCCTATAATTTTTTCATTAATAAATTATAATGCAGGGAATTATTTCTTAGTGCCAAATTAATAATTCTAGAAACGGAGAAGAACTATATTGCCTCTATTGCCTTTTGAAGCTACATTTGCCTTTTAAACTTTGGTGAGCTATCTCAGTGCTGTATTTTAAGGTCACTGATGTCTTCAGCTCACTTTACAAGCCATTTTGCAGTCCTAAAGCAGCAATGATAAATGATGAAGGATAAACACTTACTTCCTTTAACACTCGCTGTGTTAACACTCAGTCATATTAACAACATCCACATAAAATACTGAGGAGCATGGGAAAGTCTAGTCCCCAAATACCAGCTGAGAATTGAGTTCAGTGTTGATGCACTCAAGCAGCATCAGACTTGGAAAACAGTTGAAGTTGGAAGGGACCCTCCAAGGTTGTCTTGTCCAACTCCCTGCTCAGACTGAATTGCTATGACAGGTCTTCAGTTTACAGCTAACTTGGCAAACATTCAATTTGGTCCTTTGTTTTGAAGCCTCATTTGAAACTGATAGTGTAATTTGAGTAATTTCTAAGTTCTCCCCTCAAAATCTCTCTTAGGTAAATGCTAGCTTTTAACATGCTTTCACTGTAAAATGTTTTTTATTTAATTGTAAATGCAAGAAATGTGGCAACTACCAAGTAGTTATTTCTACAGCTGCTCCCAGCAAACACACCAGACTATTTTTCTGTATATTAGATGATTATTCTGTATAAGAAGAAACTGATGCACAGGAAGTTTCACCTGAATTTGAGGAAGAACTTTTTTACTCTGCAGATGATTGTACACTGGAACAGGTTACCCAGAGAGGTTGTGGAGTCTCCCTCACTGGAGATATTCAAGAACCATCTGGACACAATCCTGTGCTGTGTGCTTCAGGATGACCCTGCTTAAGAAGGGAGGTTGGACCAGCTGACCCACTCTGGTCCCTTCCAACCTGACTGATTCTGTGACTCCGTTTCATAGTTCTAACTGAGTTTTTCAAGTACCGTGAATTTATGGTATTTCACTGTGCTTATGAATAGTTGCTCCATATTTTTGGTTCAATTCTCTGAAATTAGTTGTGGGTGGCAACCTTGGTTTCCTTTCCCAAAGTTTTGCTTTTTGGACTTAAATTTGCTCTTTACCTGTTTATGTTGGGACTTTCTTAATAGGTGATTTTTTTTTTCGCTGTATTTTACTTTTTAGGCAAGATTACTGAGTAAGGAGAAGGTTTTTTCTGTGGTGGGGTGAGCATTTCTAGTATCTTCTTCTGTCTCAAATCTCTGCGTGAGATCTACCTGTTCTGAACACGTGGATGTGTGCTTGTGAACACACCTTTAGCAAATGCTGATACTTGCAATCAGAGCTGCTATATTTTGGTCCTGTTTACATGTGCTGGGAGTATTAGAGGTGCAGAAAAAATTATAAAGCAAATAATGGCTCATTTTTATTCTTTGAAGATTAAGTACAAAGATAAGACCTATGTATAACCAAAAAAATTGTTGTGGTGGAGTTTAACACGAGCTTACACGTTCTATAGTCATTATCAAGGACATTATGTTTATGTATTAATTATCAAGGAAGAACAAAGAAACATGGTGTAAAGATCCTGGATACTTAGGGAGTAGCCGTCAGTTTTAAGAACCAGTGCACCTCTCTGGGTCTGTATTATTTAAGCAGTTGAAATGTTGGCACTTAATGTCTAATATAATCAAAGTAATGAGGAGACAGCTGAGCTATGCCTCTTGTGGGGTTCTGGTCAGCATTGACTACCATGTCTCTTGTGAATGGTGGGGTGTATTTTTAGCACAACGACTGAAATAGTAGAAAAAGTTTATGATGAATACTGAGCTTAGCAAAGTAGATGATAATTTTGTAGAAAATTGTTAACTTTCTAAAGTTCTGAAGAGAGCTTTATTTTGTGTAACTATACACAAAAAAAAGGTATTTTAGTTTCAGTTGAGATCAACAGCCTAAAGTCAACTGCTTTTAAAAGGCTGTAAGGGAATTGCCCTTTTTTGGTATATAATAAGCTTTCTTGAATTAGACTGTAATATTTTTTCAGAGATTGTGTCTTTA